TGCCGAACGGATGCTCTCGACAGTAGTTTTGCTGAGGTTCTCGTGGAACCCTTTCAGGGACATGAAGAGCGCCAGTGCTTTGTCAGAGCATCTGTTCGGGATGCTCTCAAATGCATATTTGAAGGCCGGGTCCTCATACACGTCATTGTCGGCATGTATTTCGGCAGTTGCAGGCAACAGAACGAGTGAGTTTTCAGACGTGTCACCCCTCCAAGTCTCGCTGACAGCAGAACAGCTCGGGGTTTCGAAATGGCTTGCCAACCATTCCCGTCCACGCCGAACATGCCCGGCATAGTTCATCCTTGTGTTATTTGCCTGAAGGTGAGTTTTTATTCCATGTTCCTTACACTTTTGGACGTCTGCTAAAGCTGTCTTCGCAGCAGCTGATCTCGTCTTTCGCCCAGCTTTCTTCTGAGCAGTGTCTGGCAGCTGGGGGGCTTTCGCGGAATCCTTCTTGAGTCGTGCCATACTTTGTGAACACGAACGAGTGAGTGTGGCACAAAGGTAGTTCAAAATTTCGGGACGGAGATCATTGTCAGGGGCCTCTAACTAGTTAATGACAATTTCACATTTCACACTATTTAGATTAGGAAACGACAATTGATTGCACTAGGCACTAATATACTGCTGCACTACTTGGGGAGCCATATGATCCAGTATTGTTGCCGGAAGACGCATGTACGAGGGAGAGAATTTCCCTTGAGCTGAGTTGCCTAGAGTGTTGTGTGCCAACCACCGACCATCGACTTTGATATTATAAATAGCGATATCATGCCGCAATGCCATCAACGTTCCACGAGCAATTATTTTGAACACCGGCCGGCGGTCTGTGTGGTCCGCATGCTGACGGGGCAACTAAAACACGAGTTAGAGTCTATAAAAATTGAACCACATGTGCCGCCTACCTTGCATATGGTGCGGAGACATGCACCCTCCCACACACTCCCGTGCATCTTGTCAATGATGGCATCATCGTCCCAGCCCAACTGCAGCCTGCAGAAGTCTGCAAGGTCTGCAAGATGTGGCTGGGAGGACGACACGTCCAGTAGCACATTCTCCGCGGCTGAAAAAGATGTCGGAGGATGGACATATTTGTCGATCACTGCACGACGTGGAAAATCGCATGGGATACAATCTGCGACAGCCTTATACCGACGCTTGAGGTCATGGTAGGGGTCATTGGTGAGCATAGTGCGTAGTTCATCGACGAGGTCCTCCGCACGCTCAGAGAACTCCTCCGGCGGCATAGACAGGAATGCGCAGAGCATATTCTCGCCAATTCTGCTGCACATAGCAACCTTGTGAGCAATCTCAATTCCACAACCAGGCACCCCTCTATCATAGTCTCCGCCCACCAGGAGGGCAATGAGCAGCCGATCTCCTCGGGTCAAGGAGGCACCATGCTCGAGACCATCCTCCGTATACACTTGAACATTGAGATAGTCCTTGTCATTCTTCGCACTGCGACAAATCAATGGCAAAAGCATGAGAAAAACATGACGGCATACGTTCTAATTATGCACACAGCTCCGAAGATCAGAACATCACTGTCCTCGGTCATCACGGCGTCGATAACACCATGGGTGTTCATGGCAGCCAATTCGGCTTCGGCTTCACTCGGGGCCTGGGGAGTGGTGAGACAACAGTCTCATGAGGTGAGGTGAGCAAAACTTACCTCGGTCCACTGAAAGCCAAACAACTCCAGCATGCGCTGGAAGTCGCGGGTGAGCCAGTGGGGGCTGTGTCTGATTGTTCGACCCTTGTCTGGCAGGCAGGCTCAGGCCATCGAAGACAAAGACCACATGCAGGGGAAGCTTTAGTAGTGTGCCCAGCCGAAAAAACAGTGTTCGGAGTTCCGGTGATTTGCCAGCTCCTGCATGGTTCATCTGAAAGACGGCACATATGCCGTGCATCCATGCGCTAACAACACGAGTCAGTTCACTGCAGACACGTGAAAGAAGAGTAGCACCGTACCTAGCATCAATCCCGATCCTGAACAATTTGACTATGGGGTTGCCACCAATGTATTCGGTCTTCAGTTCTGACAGTGCGAGCTCTTTAAGTGTTCGGTTGTCGGCGGATGTGCTGACGCGCTGCAGATGGCATCAGTACCAGTCAAAGTCAATACCGCCATGGATTTATTTCGCTCACCTCCCATAGCCCTTGGATGCCCATGCTGAGCTGTGATGGTAGTGCAGAAGTAGAAATTCTTGAAAAGGGGGCAGCCAGAGAGGGGCCAGCTGATGTCAGCTGACCGCTGCTGAAAGCAGCAGCCTTGGTCAAGACATCAGGCTGGCTGCCCAAGTATATCGAGACTGTCTCAGTGGGGACGGTGGTGTTGCGCTCGATGAGAGCAGTCATGACACCACCGGCGGTCTCAATACCGAGCGATAGAGGAGAGACATCGAGAAGCAGGAGATCTTGGGTCTTCTCAGAGGTGTCGCCAGAAAGGATGGCAGCCTGAATGACAGCGCCATATGCAACAGCCTCATCAGGGTTGATGCTCTTGTTGGGCTCCTTGCCATTGAAGAAGTCGGACACGAGCTTGACGATACGGGGAATACGAGTAGAACCACCGACAAGAACAATTTCGTGGACATTGGCCTTGTCGATCTTGGAATCCCAGAGAACCTTCTTGACGAGTTCGAGCGTGCTGCAGAACAGGTCCGCGCACAGCTCTTCGAAATGGGCACGAGTGAGGGAAGTGTAGAAGTCGATACCCTCGAAGAGGGAGTCGATTTCAATGGAAGTCTGTGTAGCCGACGACAAAGTACGCTTAGCACGCTCGCAAGCAGCCCATAGACGACGGAGAGCATGAGGGTTGGAGGAAAGATCTGCATCGATGTCATTAAGCACCGGAGTAAATAACTAGGTTAGAAGATAGACTCACCCTTCTTGTGCTTGCGCTTGAATTCTTGCGCGAAGTGGTTGACGAGACGGTTGTCGAAATCCTCACCACCCAAGTGAGTGTCACCAGCAGTGGCCTTCACCTTGAAGTTACCCTCCAATGGGTGGTGCGAGTGGAAGTGCAGTAGTCCAGAGGCCCTGTATAATGTGAGTACTGAGAAGCATGAGGAAAAAAAATGACATACAGTATTTCTTCTCCAGGGGAGTTGTTGTTGCGTTGTTGGCAGCATTCACCTCCAGCGTTGCGCACGACAGTGACGAAGAAGGTTCAGAGCGGAGGAAAGCTCTGTCACGTGACTGGAACACAGCCGCACCTGTTTATGGCAGCTGTGTAGGATGAGTTCGAGGGAGAGAAGGAGAAGGTAGAGATAAGGGAGTGTGAGTGCAATACATTAATGTAAAGTCCAGTAAAGTGTGATTTTGAGTCAGTAAAGTGAGGAAAGTGTGGGACAGTGAGAAATACACGGTAAATTTTGTAAATTTTGTAAATTCCGAACTTCTGGGCAGGCTCCCTCCCTGCGGATGTGCCCGGTGCCACGTACTTGTAAATTTACATGCAAGCTCCCTCAAATCTATCATTTTCGTTCACATATGCTTGCCTATGTTTTACGAGTGTATTTTCTCGTGTTTCCGCTCTAGTTTTACTTAGCATTTCTCATAGACTGTAGATAGTACTAGTACTGCCACCAGGCGGCAATTCTCGAGTTCATCTTGGGCTAGAATAAGGCGTCACGTGACTTTTTAGGATTCCTTTTTTTTTTATAGAACGAATCTCAGACGAACCCCCTTTACAGAATTTACGTTAGCTAATCGTGAATTTTTCCAGATATCCTGACTTGTGTAAAAAAGATTAAACTCGACATATGTAAGCCAGGACGCTAAGGAGACACTGGAGCAACTGTTAAATTATGACGCATCTGATGGCACGTTCACTGGAAAAGCCGGTCCAATCTCCCCACTCGCTTTGATGCATGTATTTTTGCCTTACAGATTCCATACTCTCAACGTTTTTCTTATTGCAAACTTCTCGGAATTGCCTCTCTGGGTCTTCCGATGCAAACTTCCTGACCTCTACTAGTATGTCATCCATCTGTAAGCCGATTGCTTACCATACGCTTACATTATCGCACTTCACGTGATTCATCCCCTTATATTCCTCGATCCTTGTACTACGAAGGGCAGACTCGGGTCTCCTACCTACCATCACATACTCATTAGTACAACGCTCAAAGAATCCACAGCTTCGTCCTGTTACCTTCGCCCGATCCGTTCAGTGTTCCTTGTCGTTCTCCCGGACAAGGTTCCACCATCTCACTCCGAAGTCTTGGTACACCCAAGCGATAGCCATCTTCAGCCTGGCATCCCTTGCCGTCCCATATACTCGGCAGAAAGCCCCGGCGGCACGTCCACGATCAACATCAGCCTTAATTATGATCCTGCTCATGCCTTCCGTGACGGTAGCAAGGCCTCGGTTTTGCAGCTATATGAAGTTGTCCGGACGGCGGAGTCGGCCCTGCATGACCACAAGTTTTCACAATTTCCAACAGGCCAAATTACGGAGCAACTTTCTAACAGTGTTATAATCAGTTAATTACCGGAATATTTAACACCTGTTTATAAACATCGACTTTCCAACCGTATCCTACGAAGTTCCGTCTTGTTGACCATGAACCTTCTGCGGGAGACCGAAACTCAAACGTTGCGTAGTTTGGGGATATATGAGGCCGTGCTGAGCTTCATCGATTCAAGGATGGTCATACTACGGAGAGTATTGTTTGGCAAGTCACAATGTCCGATGAACGTGCACAAATTTGGCGAGCAACGCGAAGCCAAGGCCACCCAGGACCTGCAGATTCATTCGTGCCCCACAACCCCATCGTGTCGCACATCTCCCTTTGAGTACTTCCCACATGAACTTCTCATGATGTTCGCAGTTCTTCTCGAGTCTGCGGAGATTATCATGGACTTTGGCTGAACTGTTTTCGCCCACAGGAGGGCATCTCAACTCCTTTATGTTCGCACTGGAAGTTTCAGCCTATAAAACACCTGCTTGCTATTATGGCTTTGCCTCATTCCCTTCCACCGGCTCCATTATGTTTACTTCCCGCTCCGTCATCTTTGCGCTGCTCATCTTCCTCGCTGGCGCCAATGCGTGTACACAGTGCCCAGCCACAGTGGGGGGCAATAAAGTATCCAGTGCCACTGAGGTGGGCGACATGATCGCTTGCGCGTACGTCACACCCATACATCTTCATTGAACAAAGTAACTCATAGGCCGGCAGGTACCATGGACGGTCATGTTGGTTTCTTTCCGTAGGTGCTTCCTGGATATCGCGCAGCTCGCCATTCCCGGCTAACATGGTAGCGATGGCATCAGAACCGCGGTATGAAAGTAACAGGGGATTCGTTGTGTCCGTCTTTCGCAACTTTGACGAGCAGCCCCCCGGACGTAGGGAGATGTCCAGTGTTGTTGGCAGAATGAATATTTCTACCAGTGGCAATTGCCGGCAGTAGGTCGAGGGTGGTTGGCAGAAGTCGGCAGAACTACGATAGCCTGGTATTTGTTCCTACTAACAAACAATAGCATAAGTGGTGGATTAATGAGTTTACTCGCACAGGATGGCTCTGTACATGCCCGTGTGAGTACTATATTGTACTTAGCAGAAGCGTGATGTTACTCAGCGATACCGAGCATAAACGCCTCGTTGACACTATTTGTGAACTTGCAATACTTCCCAGCGAACTCAATGTTACATGTATATCGGCTTCAACCCGTCGGACCCTCATTTGCAGTTGTTATGTGGTATCTGTAAGTACTCGATGTGAGTCATAGTCGAGGAAGGCTGCTGGTTAGAGGCTGGATGAACGTCATCCTTGAGTCTGTTCGCTATGACGCCTGTGCTCTGCGTAAACGCGCTGGGGGTAGATTGACATGTTTCCTAGAGATTGGGAGGGGATTACGACATTCTATAACCTCCCCTAGGCAGAGAGCTTAGACGAAGGAAGACAGTCGATCCTTTATATACTAACGTAATAAAAGTTCATGAGCACTACTTCCGACTTTTCTCCGTGGACAGTTGACGGCACTAAGATCGTGTCTCACTCTAAACAACGAGACACGTCAGTCGACTATTTGATTCTGCTAAGACATGAGAGGTTCATCTCTAGTAGGAGTACGACTGCCAGACCTTCATGTCCACCATCTCACTCATACGTATACGACGTCGCCTGCTATCTCCTCGAGTCCTTCCTGAAATACTCGCTATTAACAGACGTAGCTGCGGCCATGTCGAATATGGTTTCTCCAACGCCGAGGAAACGATCTGCAAATGAGCGCATGGTGGGGTCTGATATCAGAGTGGTGTCAACTCTGAAGAGTGCACGAGCCAATGAGGGACAACGAAAACAGGTGCCATTCACGTTAATGTTGAGGCGCGGGACATGAAGCATGAGACACTCACGCAAATCCACTCGACCGCCGGATGCCAGCGACGACAGTTGAAACTAGTACTGCGTCAACAGCATAATGTACGATTCTGCCTAGTGCCATGTAGTTATAATTGCGTCAAGCAGGAGGTATGTAGCTTGTGGTGGGTAGTGATTAAGAATCGTGTGCGGGGCGTGAGGTGATCATAAAAGGAAACTCGTCGGTATCAATTCGGCACACAGTATAACGCGGCTCTCAGTGCGCTGCCGGCATATCCTGCACTATGTAGCATCATCAAGTCCTCAAAAGCACGCGTAGGGCCTAGGCCCTAGGCAGAATGGTTGCGAGTCTATAGTTCAGACTTATTACAACAAGGCCAAAATAATACGTCGTAAGTTCTTCAGTTCTCTATTCCAAGGTTGCTCAAGCGGTCGTGGAATTTATCCAGAAACAAGCATCTTGATCAACTTAACAGCGAACTACTTATGTATCATGACATCAGCCGCGCTGTGCACCAATGTGGAAGCAGAACATGACTCACCGCGACGTGTCAGTCTTTTTACGAAGGGACACAAACCATTTTTATAATTTTCTGCCAGGCCGGTGAGTCATGGAGTTAAATCATAAATGCCAACAACTGATATTCACAAAAGTAACAGGGTCGTAAAACTCGTCGCATTCATAGCCAGGGCAGCAATAACCATTGTCGCAAGAATCAGGACATGTATCACCGTATGCACTGACAGACATAGATGTTGTCAAAGCAGCAACGACGGCGAGGACAAAGGAGAAACGCATTATTGTGCGATGTGATATGGGATATGGGATCTCGGGAAGAGGGTGGGGGCCCGGGGGCATGGCATGAAGACGGCCTTTTATGTTCCGGAAGCACTCTTCTGGCAGAACTCCGTGGCGAGAATGTAGGCGAAACCTATCATCCCCTTCGAGGAGATGACATTTATAATACCAACAAATTGCCAGCAGACCTCAAATATCTACGCCGGACCTATCCACCTGAAATGCCCTTCAATCAGATGTCATTTACGGTGCCAGCAGACCTTTGCTCTTTCACCAATATTTTGTTGCTGATGATGCACACGGTTACGTGATGACATATCTCAAGATGCTCAGCATCGTACTCATTTCTATGTGGGTGTTGTACCCCCCACTCGAGCATGTCGTGGCTGGTCTTTGGAGCATCGTGAATGTCTCATCCCCATGCTCTGGAACCACGGGAAATCATCAGGACGATGCGAGTGTTTTACTCCCGCATGCACGACTTTCGAACCTAGGTTGATCTCCCGTATCGCGTATGGCATGTGCAGAGTATTCGTCTCGCAGGTCACCGATCATATGTGCTGTTGGAATACGCGTCTCGACCATACTACCATACTACGTCTCCCATCTTCCTCAGTACTCGAGTACTCGAGTTTAAGTTCTGGGGATTTATAGGCCAGTTTGCTGTAAACATGCGGTTTGAGAGGTTTTAGCGTGTAGTGCTGTCTCGCTCGTTGCTGTTTGTCGTTTTGAGACCTCTGGTCGCGGGAAATTCTGACGCGCCCACTAGATTCCCCTGCGCGAGTTGTAATTCCGTCGAAATAAGCTCCGGATAGTGTGGAATGCATACCGGGCCACAAGAAGAAGAAACCCCAATCGTGCGCTAGGTGAGTTAGTAACGTAGAGTCGGACAAGCGGCCTATTTAACGGGCCACAATGATGGTAGACGCGGTATAACGTTCACTGCCAGTATGAACCGCACCTTGTAGCATAGCGTGCAACAATTATACACGCTGATCGTCTGCTGGGCGATCGTGATTGTTGCTGATTCGGTCCCCCTGAGTGCGGCCATCGCGTGATAGATCAAGGTATCGGTGGTTTCGAGACCATTAATCATCTGCAGAACATCGCCTCTCAGCGACTCATTGTCGAGAAGTGTGGGTATAGTTGTACTATAGGAAGTGTTTGTGAGAGACATAGGGAGGAATTTCGAAGACGTTAGAATGAGGCAGGAACTTAAATAAAAGTCACGGAATTGATTGAATAGCGAATCGGCTAGATTCCCCATTGACGAGGCCCCTATGCGAGTTGTAAAATTCTGTTGCTGTCATGATATCATCCATCCGTCGGGGAGAGATGCCATAGATGTATTTTATCCATTTATTCTACGAAAGATTCTGTTAACAAAATAAATAAAAACCAGATACATAGCCGTATACTATGGGCCTGTGGGGTTCGTGGAGACGTTTCTTGCAAGGGCGGAGAGTATTGGTGGAAGATGATGTGCCCTCTGGATTAGTGGAAGACGATGTACCTTCGGGATAAGTAGTAATGACAATAGTAGCCTCGTCGAAACGAACTTGACGCATAATGATAAGAGCGGATATCATTTCGCGTACTTGTTTTAGGTGGAAAAGCTACAAGTATGCTGGTGGTACTTTATAGGATATCATCGGTAGATGCGATTAGGATTAGGTAGGAGGTTAGAGACTAACTTGACTTGTATCAGGGATAGGTTGAGTGGTATATGAAACGTCACTACTCAGGGACTAATAAAACTTTAGTTGCAGTTTAGTATCACGAAACAGCTAGAGACTGGAGACTAATAAGTTGACGGTCGTCATACTGATAGGTAGCAACGAACCTCGCTCTATTCTTGATAGATATACACACTGAACTCGTCAGTATCCCAACAGAAACATATCACTGCAGGTCAAGTCTGCATCCATCATCACCCAATGATTGCATATAACCCCCGGAATAGCATTGCTGCATGGATTTACGATAGTCTAAGAATCATGTAGCCATAAGGATATGCGAACAACAACAAAAACCAAAACGAGCAACTATTGCCTATCCTTGAACATCTTCTGAATCGCCTCACTCGAGTACGACTTCGGACGTTCCAAAGCTAACACACACATTCAGTCTCTCACTCAATCAAGAAGAAAGGAAAATACTCACGAGCACCAAGTGCACGATCCCAAATCAACTGCGCAGCCACACCAAACGCCCTACTCACACCAAACAACACCGTATAGAACTGCATCTGATGTAACCCATAATGCGTTAAAAGCACGCCCGAATGCGCGTCCACATTCGGCCACGGGTTCTTAGCCTTACCCGCCTCCAACAAAATATCAGGCACGACATTATAAATCTGGCCGACGAGTTTGAAGAGGGGGTCATCAGGGAGGTTTTTGAGCGCGAATTCGCGTTGTGCGGTGTAACGGGGGTCGGTTTTGCGGAGGACGGCGTGTCCATAGCCTGGGACGACTTGGCCGCCTTTGAGGGTGGACCAGACGTAGTCTTTGACTGCGGAGTCGGTTGCGTTTTCGCCGATTTGGGATTGCATTTTGCGGAGCCAGAGAAGGACTTCTTGGTTTGCGAGGCCGTGGAGTGGGCCTGCGAGACCGTTTAGGGAAGCTCCGAAGGCGAGGAAGGGGTCTGAGAGGGCTGAGCCGACGAGTTTTCCGGTGTGAGCTGAGACGTTGCCACCTTCGTGGTCGCTTTGGAGGTGTGAGTGATGCTTCGTTTGGTATAAAAGAGGAAGACGTACGTGTGGATAGTGATGTAGAGACGAAGGAGCTCGACGAAAGCTGCGTTGTCACCAAAGCCAAGGAGGGTTGCGAGGTTAGCGGAGTAATCCTTGCTGGGGTCGATGGGAGGGAGCTTTCCGTCGCCGAATACATTGCGGTATATGCGACCGGCGATGTTAGGGAGTTTGGCAATGCTATAGATGATGAGTATTTTTAGCGAGCTGAATTTAACATTTAAACTCACAGATCCATCGTGTCTTCGAAAGTGTGACCCCAGTATTCCTTTTTAGAGACACCATCCTGGTAGGCCTTGGCAAAGGCGGAGTCATGGTTGAGTGCGGTGACTGCCATTGAGAACTGACTCATAGGGTGGAGAGTAGGAGGACAACGGTCGATGATCTCCTTTACGAAGTCGGGTATTTCTGCACGGGCAGCCCAGTCGCGGCTGAGCTCGGTAACCTGCTCCTTGGATGGAATCTCGCCGGTGACGAGGAGCCAGAAGAGACCTTCAGGAAGAGGTTCTGTGCCACCTGGAGCGGCGGGTAGGAGTTCCTTGCACTCGGCGATTGACTTTCCACGGAAACGAATACCTTCGTCTGAAAAAGCGTGAGAGGGGAGGGGGAAAAAAGAGAAAAGATGACAGACCTGGGTCGAGGACGGAACCATCCCAAATGAGGGCTGGGAGACCACGCATACCGCCATAGAGTTGGTCGACTGTTACTGGACCGAAAGCCTTTTTACCATGCTCGGCGCGAATTGCCTTTACCTAGGGACGAAAATGGAAATGAGGGTGATTGGCGATAATTAAGGTATGAACCTTTTCTATTTCTGCAGGGATGAGCTCTGCAAGACGTTCTTTCAAAGTGAGTTGTCTTGAGGCTGTTGAAGAGAATCGAACTGAGGTGCGTGCAAGGACTGGAGAACGCGACTAGAGGATTTAAGTTAGATGTACATTGTATAAATGGTTATTAGACATACGACGTTGAAGACGTTACGGAGAGTAGCAGCCATGGCGGGATGAAGAAGAGTGGAGTTGAAATTGAAATTTATATTTATATTATAAAAAGTAGAAAGTAAGGAAAATATCGGAACACATCGGACCACGTGGAAATCAGACCACCCTCTCCTTGATCGCGACCGAGCCATGCTTAAACGAAAGAGAAACGGACCTACTCTTCTTCCACAGGTCAGTTCACTCAATTCAATTAATATCAAAAAATCTAATCATCAAATAGAAAAAACATTATAGACAACGAGCGCACGCTAATCCATTCTCTGATCATGCTCTACTCTATCCATCATCACCAGATACATTCGATTGGTCAACTCATTATCCTGGTTTAAAAGGAACACCAGCATTTGCAGATATAGGATGTGGTTTCGGTGGTTTACTCATCACTCTCGCCCCTCTATTCCCTGATACACTCATGCTTGGTCAGTACTCTCCCTTCTTTATATCTCTTACTTATATCCGTAGGTCTCGAAATTCGTGTTCAAGTCACACAATACGTCCACGATCGTATCACCGCACTCCGCGCCACTTCCACCCAATATCAAAATGTATCTGTCATCCGCGCAAACGCCATGAAATTCCTACCAAACTTCTTTCCAAAAGCTTCCCTCACAGCTCTCTTCTTCCTTTTCCCAGATCCTCACTTCAAAGCACGCAAACACAAGGCTCGCATCATCTCACCCACCCTTCTTGCAGAATACGCATACGTCCTCGCTCCAGGTGGAATCGTCTATACAATCACAGATGTAGAGGACCTTGCACAGTGGATGCGTGCCCATCTTGAGGCTCATCCTCTCTTCCAGTTTGTCGAGGAGCAAGAGCTAAGGAATGAAGGAAAGGGTCCCATCTTGGATGCCGTATATGGTGCAACGGAAGAAGGGAAGAAGGTAGAACGCAATGCTGGCGAGAAATGGCTAGCATGCTTCAGACGCATCGAAGTGAAGAGGCAGACATAACGACAAATTGTTGTAGTATCTGATAAGATAACCCAGAGTACACCGGATACACCCGGTTGCTAATCAATTCCAAATACCAGACTTGCGCTGGCAGCTTACCCACAGACCTCGACTTCACGCCTTCTCGTCACCCCGGTTTAAATATAGTCAAGCCAATGTCTTGCTACAACCTATTCGATAAATATCAAGAAGTATGCATCCCTACAACCGTCTACACGAGCCTCCCTCAGCATGTCTTCCAGGTCATCTCCCATCTACACCAGCGCCGCTTCTCCTGCTTATAACTCATATACCCCTTCCCCATCCTCTTCCTCGGGCATTCACGGCGACACATCCTCCTACTCATCGCGCAAAGCATGGGTAGACCCTAAAAGCTTAGCCAACTGTGGGGACGCATCGCAGATACAGGGCAACGTATCCCCCTACGTCAAACAACTCGTTCTTAATGCGTTCATCGCCTACGGCGCTGGTGACGAGCACTGTTTTGGTCACTCCATTGCTAAAGCTGTCAAGTTTATCGATATCAGTGTACGGGACAGGCAAGGTCGGATGGAGGCTACGACTGTTGCAGAATTCGTCGTCTCAAAGAGTATGTCAGCCACGGTATGACATGTTTAAGGATTGCTAACTGACAAGGAGCACAGGCATGTTGAATGGCGCGGGGATACTCCACGGAGGTTGTCTAGCCTTTCTGATTGACAAGTGCGCACCAAATCTCAGCGTTCTTTGGGTGTTCTGACATACATACTATCGTAGCTGCTGCAGTACTCCCTTGGTCGCACTAGGACTCATACGAAACACCAACGGAGTGGGAGTCACTCAATCTATGAACGTCATGTTCCACTCCCCTTCACCAGCGTACGTCTTGAACGATTAATTCCCACTTCTATCGCTCACTCTTAGAACGTGTCATTAGTGGATCGTGCTTGCGTATCATCAGCACGTCAGTCGCTATGGGCGCACGAATCATGAGCGCTCGATGTGAGGTTTGTTTGTTGTTCAGTCGGTCGGTCGACGTTGGTTGATGGCGCTGCGCAGGTTGTTAATGAGAAAACGGGCGGTGTAGCCGCTTCAGCGTATCTTAACAAAATGCAGCCCAAGATTTCGAAGCTTTGATGGATTTGTTTCTTCTTTGTTGGGGGCTGCTCAGACTCCGACGGTGTATATCTGCTTACATGTACCACATTATAGTCAATAGATATTCTATTCATTCTTTTATAAAAGGAATGGCTGTTTTCCTTCTATTGGTCTGCCTAGGGGGGACTAGTATCCATTGTGTAGTGGTACGATTGTCCAAATTCGACCTAGGTCGGAATCCGGACAAAAGTTGATCCCTCGCTCGGGCGAACTGCCTGCATGTTGTATTCCAACGCGAAGAATTTCGAGAGAGATGAAGACGAAGACGCGAATCTGCCTCTCACGCCCAGCGAGAATGGGATAGCACTATGTATTGCGAGCGAGGTCCGGAAAGTACCACATCGTCACGGTGCCCCGCCAACCGACCCACCAACTGAAACAGCCCTCGACAAGGAATGCGGACGAATGCACGATGCAAAGGTAGTCGGTATCGTGCACCGTCGTGCGAGTTGTTGCGACACGAACACGATGCGGCACTCCCTTGTATAATGAGCGCGTCGCGGAACTCTGATGTAGTCCCATCTTTCTTTCTTAACCTGTTTGAGCAAACGAATGATGTAAGATATGTCAGTATGAATAATAGTGTTACATATGAACGGGAGAAAGATGAAACTTGCCTTGCATTCTTCTTACTAAGTTACTGATGGCGGACCTTTTTGGCGCTCGGCGTCGGCGGGAGCGTTGGAAGCAGCAGGGGTTAGCTCGTATGGTTCGATGTGATGCCGTCCCTGTCACAAGTAAATGAATCAGTAGTGAAATGAAGAGAGAGAAAATTACAGATACAATAAGAACTCATCAATGTTGTCGCTACCGGGAGTCCGAATCATAATGCTACGGAAAGATCAGGATTCAAGACAATGTTCAATGCTAGACAACGAGACTTACGTTGTGGCATCCTGGGACCTGGATTGTAAATGATTAGCAGTGAACCCGCCATCCCCAGGAAGTACACGGGAACTTGTTACTTCGCAGAGTACTTATGTATGATCATATGCGACTCCAATCTTGGCCCGGTGACGAAAACCAATACATTGTTTTTCGTCATCAGGTCAAGATTAGTGGGTGGACCTAAGTCGTAGGATGGTGTCTAAGCGAGTCGAGAACACTGTTCGAACTTCGGGTGAGCCGCATCATGAGCGAGTTACTTGACGAGCCGGCACCGAGGATCAGGCTCTCCAAGGGACAATTTGACCGTGACAAAAATTCCTTGAACGCCTCATGATGCCACATTCTTATATCTCGAGCTTCAAGCACGCGCAAATTGGGGAGTGATAGAGCAATTAACAAGTGAAATCAAATGTTTCTGGTCGTCGCGTCACAATTGAGGCGGAAGGATTGAAGTTTGGCATACGTGAATATCAATGGCTGAGGCCATTATGTGCATGAATTTTATGCAGATCGCTAACGAGGTGAGATTGGGACATAGTTGGAACAAGTGGAGGAATGTATTCTGAAAAAAGCATGGTGATGTCGACGTTTGTCAGGTGGGCCCATATGGGACTGAGAGAAGATAAGGACTCGCAGTCAAACCACATCCCCGCTGTCTTAAGACTGCGCAGAGTGGACAGTCGCGAGATCGATTGTGCAAGAGCTGTCCGAGGAGAATTGGACATGTGTATACTCAGCTCCTGAAGTGCTAGGAGGTCTGTTAATAGAAGTTCAGATTCGTAGGGAAAAATGATAGTGAGAGACGAGATTTGATTCGCGTAAGGCTGAAGAAGGTTATGTAGCATGCGCGAGGTACCTGAGCAGCACAGGACTATTAATGAAAGCGGACACCCTAGTGATCGCTTGAACCATGAGTCATAGCAGAAGGCTCGCCACTGCCATTGATCTTTGCGGTAGACGGCCACAGATAGCCTGCGCCACAAACTGGGTGCACCCACAGCAACCTCCCTCCATCGTCGGCATACTGTGGTCAACAGTACGGGAGCTTCTAGCTGGGATGGCGGCTGAAATTTATCGGCGGAGGAAGACAGTGATGAAAAACTTGGGATAGGATTTCAGTTGGCAGGCTGCCAGAGAGCCGATCCCAGTCTCTTGTGCAAATTCATAGACTGCATGATCTTGTCCTTCTGTTCGAAGAGTTTCTGATGAAGATTCTTTGTACTATCCATGATTGATTCCAGGTTTGAGATCTGGTGCGAGACTACGTCTAACCGGTGATGATGGCGGGGATGGTCCGGTCTTTGAGCTCGATGGCAGAGTGGTTGGTACTAGAGAATCTGGCTTGGGAGTATGGGGTTTCGAGATCTAGGCATCTGGTGATCGTCAATATTGTCATTGGATACTGCCACATAGACATACGATTGCTTGTGAACGTAGTTGAAGCGAATAGCTATTATCCTCATACGTGAGTTCTTGATAAAACTTGCCACTCACGATGTTCTGCAGTGCATTATATCTCGGAGAGCGGGCAGAGATTGACTTGTGAATTGGCTGTCTGCATTGTCAACGTTAACCGGAAGAAGGGTGTGTCACACAATGTCACACAATGATCACAATGATCACAATCGCGTCACAGATCATGTCCAAAAACTATAATCAAGAAGAAACGACTGTCTTCTTTCTATATGGTCTGGCTAGGGGAGACTACTTTAAAACTAGCTATTAAACCTGCCTGACTTGTAGTATACTGCTAAACTATGGTGCGCCCAGTCTACTGCATCCTTCCATTACACCATAACCTCCCCATCCATTCACGTCCGTCCACAGTCCTCGCGAATCGAGCTCCTCAATGCTGGTCTTCTCCGCAGCGACGGTCGCAGGCCTTATGAGCTACGCACACTATCCATCAACTTTGGAGCACAAGGCACCGCAGATGGCAGCGTCACCTATTCACATGGCCTCACCGAGGTTCGCGTCGCAGTTCTTGGCCCACACGAACCAAAAGCAGGCAGCAGACGCGAAACACTACATGACCGTGCAACACTAAACGTCGAAGTCCAGCTCGCGCCTTTTGGCGTTGGCGAGCGGCGGAGAAGAGGGAGGGGTGATAAGTAAATGTGGTCTGCGTATGCTCTATTGCATTTTTACTGATATTTTATGACTTAGACGCCTTCTTGAACTTGCTGCGACTATTAAAAGCACATTCGAGCCCGTTGTGCAAACGCATCTATACCCCCGCACCACGATCGACATTTTCATCCACGTCCTGCAACTCGACGGGGGGCTCCTCCCCGCATGTATAAACGGCTCCACGCTCGCCCTTGCAACCGCAGGCATCCCCCTCTTCGATTTCGTTTGTGCCATTGCCGGAGGCGTACACGGCACCCAACCCCTCCTTGATCTCACGACAGTAGAGGAAAATGACGTGCCTAGCGTGGTGGTGGGCGTGATGCCTCGCACGGGAAGGGTGACGCTCGTGCAGATGGAGACGAGGTTGCATATGGAGAGGTTTGAGGAGGTGTTTAGGGTTGCGTGTGATGCTGGGAAGGTGCTTTGGAGTGAGATGAGGGATGCGTTGAGGGAACGGACTGGGGATTTGGTGGATGCGCTTGAGGCGGGCCCGGGGATGAGTGTGGTGAAGGAGACTGAGGAGACGTAGGAGTTGTCGTGCAAAACCATGTTATGTTCCCGTTGTGTAGGTAAGGATACCTGATCATACCCAGCATCTCATCGTGTCGATTATGTACGCGAAACTGTTACTGCGATTTCAGACTCCTGAATAAGTACGAAATGAAGTCTCCTAATACGGTAGCACACATTTTTTCACTTCATCTATCATATCAATCGTGCAACATGGCGAACATCATTGTCCCAGATGGAGTCCAGTCTGGATTCAAACTCGCGTCGATCCTCGACACCGACTTGTACAAGGCACGTATCATAGCACCGTCATAACGATATCCTTAAGCGCCTCTCCTGTCCGAGTCATGTTGACATATCTCTGCAGTTCACGATGCAACAGGCTATATTCGAATACTATCCCACTGCACAAGTTGTATACCGTTTCACGCACCGCGACAAGGATCGTCAGTTCTCTAGAACATGCATAGAAAAATTTAAAGAATCACTGAGCAGTTCGTGTCTCTCGCTATCTGATACCGTTTGCCCAATTGTGTATATGCAGGTTTCGCCGAGGTACAGCTAAGGCAAGATGAACGTGCTTGGCTACAGGACACATGCAAATATTTCAAGCCAGCATATCTTGATTATCTGCAGTCTTACAGGTTTAAACCCGAACAAGTGATGATAGTGCTTTCTTTTGACTTTACCTCGATTGACGTGGTTCAACGCAGGTCTCTGTGAACTTTATCCCGTCATCCAATGACCCTGATATGGGTAGTGTCAAGATCGAAGCCAGAGGGTCATGGCTCGAAACGGTTCTTTGGGAGGTACCTCTCATGGCATGCCTTTGCGAGATGTATTTCCGGTATGCGGACCAAGACTGGGATTACGCTAGTCAAGAAGGTAAACATCTCTCTTGATTCGTGCTCGCTGAGTACTATGGATATTGCGCAGAACAAGCCATGCATAAAGCCAAGTGTCTTTTGGATGCGCGATGCAAGTTCAGTGAATTTGGGACGCGTCGCAGGCGGTCTTTTGTCACGCAAGATTTGGTCTTGAAGGGAATCATGAAAGCACGGGATGCGCATGATTGGAAGGAAGGATTTTTTGCAACTAGTAATGTATGCGAGTGGGTTGATTGTCACCCTCAGGTTCATCAATGCACTTATGTACAGGTTTACTTCGCCATGCGCTACAACCTCAACCCAATAGGAACGATTGCTCAGTACGTCACTGTTCCTTTTCTTTTCCTGTGGCTCATTGCCCTTCTGATAGCGAGTGGTTCATGGGCGCAAGTCTGGTTACTTCATGACACGTCTCCACCACTGATCAAATACTTAGATCGCAGCATTATGCGATTACAAAGATGCTACCGGAACAGCTTTGGACCTTTGGTCAGATCTTTACGGGGAAAACCTTTCCGTCACGCTTACGGACACCTTCTCCACTGAAGTCTTTTATCGGGTGCGTACGTCGACCCTGTGACTGCACATTTCTTACTGCTAGGTTCCAGGAATTCGATGGCAAACGCGCCTAATCAATGGAAATTCCTGCGTCAGGACTCAGGAGACCCCAAAGTCTTTGCGCCCAGGGCTAAGCAAATGTACGAAGAGCGCGGAATAGACTATACCCAGAAAGGCATCATTTTCAGCGATGCTTTGAACTACAACAGAGCGAAAGAGTTGAATGAGCAGTGTCAGCAGCTAGGGCTCCAGTGTACTTTATCCTGTTTTTTTTCGCGTTCGTCGGTCTCACTGTTTTTTTTTTTCGTTTCGACACACAGGCTCGTTTGGTATAGGTACTTGGCTGACGAACGACTTCAAGAAGAAGAGCAGTCAGTATACGGAACAGAGCAAGGCGTTGAATATAGTGATAAAGCTTGGATCGATTGATGGGAAGGAGTGCGTCAAGATCAGTGATGAAATTACGAAGGTCAGGACTGCATTCGTCGTGGTTCCTGTTTCTGTGTCCTCATTTATCTTGTTTACAGAATACCGGAGTTCCAGAAGTTGTGGCAAAGGTTAAAGAGACCTACCAAATACGACTCTCGACAACCAATCGTAGACTTGATTAGTTGTAAGTGATCCACTTTCGCGAATGAGAATCCAAATTAACGACGATCTTGCGTTGCCGTGTTACCTCCACGGGATACTCGACATTTTCAGAGAGACATTATACATTAGAATCACTGTAGTGGCATTTAAAGCTACGTCAAAGAACCGTAACGAGGATTACATCCGTCTCTTGCAGGTCCACTCCAAAGCTGACTTGTAATGTGTCAACAGTTACTAGGGGACCGCTAACTCGTACGTCTGACTTCCCCAGGTCATAATGGTGATATAGGAGGGATAGCTTCAGCATCGATGCAATGGAGCACACCCAAGCTCACACTCCTTAGCAGTTGAATAAAAATCAACGTGACCGCTTGGCGTTGAACAGCGATCTCGATTGATGGTGCGATACAGTAAAACCCGCGGCTTTGTTTCATTTGAATTTTGATGAGCACATCACAGTGGTGCTTGACAAATCCACCAACACAGGCATTAACTATTTCGTCAATCCATTGCAAATTTGCATATTGTTTCAACTCATTGGAATGAGATTTGGGTGTGCTGCGGACAACTCTGGCAACATGGGTGTAAGGTGAATCCGGCTTATTCCGGATCCGCGTGATGGTGGCTCGCGTGATGTCATGCTCTGATGTTATTCGCAACATCATCGCGCGGGGTGCTCATGGGTTATTTTCTAGTCAGTTGAAGGTCCGTTCTATCAAGTGCAATTTGATTAGTACTGACTCGTGAACATAACACTCACACAGAGAAAATGAGGTCAACAGGGTCGGTGGCACTGAACACACCTGAAGGAGTGGCTAATTAGTAAAGGCTACGACGGTGAAATGATTTCGGTACTTAGTACAAGCAAGGTGATATGATGCCGAACTTAGCATAGTACGTATTGACATCTTATTGCTCCCAGACTTGCAGGCTGTACCCTTCTCGGGTCCACGAACACTTTCTCGCTTCATCAATCATCACTCGTACAGCATGGCGAACAACATCGGTGTCCCAGATGTCCAGTACAAATTCAAGGTGGTGTCGATTCTCGATACCGAGTTATACAAGGCATGTATCGTTGTAGCACCGTCATCATGACCTCCTAAAAGATTCTCCTGTCTGAGTCATGTTGACATATAACTCTAGTTTACGATGCAACAGGCCATTTTGGAATACTACCCCACCGCACAGGCCGTATACCGTTTCACGCATTGTCACAAGGATCGCCACTTCCCTAGAGCATGCATAGAAAAGTTTCAAGAATCATTGAACAGTTCGTGTCTCTCAAACCAACTCATTGCGTATTCTAGATTGCGTACATGCAGGTTTTGCCGAAGTACGGCTAACGCAAGATGAACGCGCTTGGATACAGGACACATGCAAGTATTTCAAGCCAGCGTACCTCAATTATCTTCAGTCTTACAGGTTCAAACCTGAACAAGTGATTATATGCGCCTTCTTTAGCTGTACCTCTCGATTGACACGGTCTAACGCAGGTCTCTGTTAACTTTATCCCGTCTTCCAATGATGCTGCCATGGGCAGCGTCAAGATCGAGGTGGCAGGGTTGTGGCTCGAAACGGTTCTATGGGAGGTACCTCTCATGGCATGCCTTGGCGAGATGTATTCTCGATATGCGGACCAGGACTGGGATTATGCTGGCCAAGAAGGTAAATATCCTTCCTGATTCACACCTGCTGAGTATTGATTTTGCGCAGAACAAGCCATGTATAAAGCCACGTGTTTTTTGGATGCGCGATGTACGCTCAGTGAATTTGGGACGCGTCGCAGGCGGTCTTTTGTCACGCAAGACTTGGTCTTAAAGGGTATCATCAAAGCGCGGGACGCGCACGAATGGAAGGATGGCTCCTTTGGAACTAGTAATGTACGCGGGTCATTAGTGGCCCCCTTTAGGTTCCTCAACGCGAATATGCACAGGTTTACTTCGCCATGCGTTACAACCTCAACCCGATAGGAACAGTATCTCAGTACGCCCACTGTTCCTTTGATTTTCCCATGACTCACTACTCCTTTTTTCTTTCTTTTTTTAATAGCGAGTGGTTCATGGGCGCAAGTCCAGTCACTGTATGGCAGGTGTCATGCTCTGACAAAATACTTAGATCGCAGCATTAAGCAATTACAAAGATGCTGCCAGAACAGCTTTGGACCTTTGGTCAAACCTTTATGGGGAAGATCTTTCCGTCACGCTCACAGATACCTTCTCCACAGAAGTCTTCTATCGGGTGCGTATATCAGGAATATGTCAACACCGCGACCGCGCAGCGTTGCTCACAGTTGGGTTGCAGGAATTTGATAGCAGGCGCGCCAGTGAATGGAAAGCTCTGCGTCAGGACTCCGGGGACCCGAAAGTCTTCGCGCCCAGGGCTAAGCAGATGTACGAAGAGCACGGTATAGACCACACCCAGAAAGGGATCATTTTCAGCGACGGTTTGAACTTCCACAAGGCGAAAGAGTTAAATGAGCAGTGTCAGCAGCTGGGGTTCAAGTGTACGTCATCCCTGTATGCTTGTTCGGTTCGGTCTCACTCGTATTTTCTATTTGTTTCACCCATACAGGCTCGTTCGGCATAGGTACTTGGTTGATGAACGACTTCAAGAAGAAGAGCAGTGGGTATAAGGAACAGAGCGATGCGTTGATTATAGTAATCAAACTTGGATCGATTGATGGGAAGGAGTGCGTCAAGATCAGTGATGAGATCACAAAGGTGAGAATTGCCCTCATACGTCGCGATTTCCGGTTCTGCCTTCTCATGGATCGCCATTTATCTGCTTTACAGAATACCGGAGTTCCGGAAGTTGTGGCGAAGGTTAAAGAGATGTACCAGATACCACTTTAGTCTTTCGTAGACCGATCGTAGACAGTAAGTGAGGGTGCTTCCGTGAATGAGAATCCGATTCGAAAACGGTCTTGTATTGTCTGGGGATAGCCAGCAACTCCTAACAAGTTTTCGAAGGGCTTACCAATGACGTTAACGACGAAGTGACCGTGCATTAGAGTCACTTGTTTTGAATCGAGTTATTATCCTGGGGGGTATGGAAGGGTGTATTATGTTATGAAGGGTATTTGTACGAGCCAAACGATACACGTCAAAGAAACGTGACAAGGATCGCTTCCGTCTCTTGCAAATCAACTCCGGAGCTGATAGGTAATATCTCCAAAGTTAGGGGCCCGCTAACTATACCGTCGCTTGTCTCGTACGTCTGACCTCCCCAAGTCAGATGGTTGGTATCGGAGGCATACCTACGGACAAATTTAGCGTTCAGACCGCGACTGCCAATAAAATGTGATCATACCCAATTTTTAGTGTCTTCACGCTCATCTCCTTAACCGTATGTCCGGAACCAGTGAAAGAAAAATCAATGTGAGTGGATGTTCTCGCACCAGCGCCAGAAAAGTATGCGATCGTGTTTATGAACACAGCTTTCGAGAGAGTACCATGCTCATAAAATGCATAGCCTGATACATTATTCTCGTCGATGGCAATTTCGACTACCTGCGCAGTTCCAGATGACCCGATAGCCTCTGCAACGATGATAGCTGCGTAGTACGGTGGTTGTATATGCGGTGCCAGTGGCGCAATTGGAGAGCCGTCGAGGATCGAGTAGTCAAGCGTCACGGGTTGAATCTATACAGAAGAGGACTGAGTGATGCTGCATTGCCTTGAACGAACAGGGTACCGACCAAATTGAACTTGTACCCAACACCTTCGTGGAAATGTAACCGACTGATACCGACTTGTGTGGCATATAAAGAGTAGTCGAGTAACCAGAGGGCAGCGCCGGCTGTATTACTGACCTCTAATGAAAAATGTAAGCCATCCCATCTTCTGTTCACGTTGGTGACTTACCAGATGCACCGTTGCAACTCATACCTACCAACATCTTAGTGATTCTATCGTTGTACACTGACAGACAATAACTTACTGTTTGTCTCCCCGAGGATGTAGTTCAGACCATTGGCAATGGTTGCTTCAATGTCAGGGCTGAACATGGAGATATTACCGCGGATATAGCTCTTGGTCATCAAATCCTGCAGCATGGCTTTCCCGCCAGTACAGAATGAGCCACTGTATTGGTGTTGCGAAATGCTAACCACGAGATTCAGCACAGTGTCCAGATTCTGATGCTGTGGACGCACGTCTCAATTAGCTGGCCAGCAGGAAGCTTAAGGATGCCGATGTTAAATATAGCTTGAGGAGAGAAGCCGCTGAGGTTGTTGTGAGAAGACCCAGCGAAGGCAGCGCCGATCAGTTTTGTATATGATGTGTTGGAGAGCTTGGCTGTCGTCGACACGTTGAGCGCAAATTTCTCCCACCTTCAGGCTAGTCAGGCACTACAGAGGAAGCCATCGTCGAGAACTTACTCATAGACATATCCCCGTACATTCCAGCTGCCGTTACGACCCCCATTGATGTAGTAGAGATCAGGCTCATTGCCGACTTCGATGAACTTCAACGTAATGTTTTTATCTACTACGGCGGGGGAGGAAAATGCGTTCATGAGCGCGACAGTTTCGAGGTAGGTCGCCGTGAGGTTGTCCTCCCTCTGGTTGACGCCCCAGTGAACCTGCGTCCCTGAAAGTAAAGTATATCAGTTGCTTGACTGTCTCCTTAAAATTAGATTACCTTCTGGAAGATGAGAGATGATGTCATAGAAGCCTGGTCCAACAGTAATATTAGTGGCTCTTGGGTATGGCGTGATGGCAGTCGAAGCAGGGAAAATATCTTCTTCGTACTGCGCGCGAATTAAACATGCATGTCATTTCAACATCAAAGGAAACTCACTTCGATATCATAGCTGAAATCAGTGTGGTCCTCTGAGCTACCGCCTATTCTCACGAAGGGAGGAGTGTTGGTGATTTGGACCAAGTTATCAAGGACGTTGTTGAAAAACTTATTCGGTTCCGTCGTCCCTGCCCAATCGACCCATCTATCTTGCTCGATTGAAAGCGAAACGAGGTTGCCCATAACTGATGCTGCACCTGAGGGATGCAGCGAGCGGGATTGTAACCTCGATCGCCGAGACTATGGGAGCGACGAGCGTGAGGGAAGTGTGCACCCCGCATAAATCGCGACATGAGGGTGAAAGGCTATGAAATGGTCCGGTTCTGAGCACAAGTTAATTAGATATACGGTGGACTGGAATGACCAAACCTACAAGACCGTGATTTGGATTTTTCGCTTAGGCGCTTTTATTATTTGACCTTGCAGCAGTACCGAACAGAAGCTCCACTGCTGCCTCTTCATTCTGCTTTCGTTTAGATTCCTTGGGAGTACTACGGCACCCCACTATATGCGCGGATACTGTTGACACATACGGCGGCCAGAGGTTGAGGAGCTGTGCATGAGTTCGACGGTCAGTGACAGAAGCAAGCCATCTATCGAACTGTAAAGGAGTTGGACAGCTCAGACTTTTCATCAGGAGCGCCTTTGGGCGCACAGCCGTTCTGCGAAATTTCCGCATCGTGACCGCGATCACTCTAGGCGTCAGTACGGGACCCTTTCGTTTGTCTAGCTCCTTCACAGAGGCGCTTAGACGAATTTTCCAAACCCGATATGAAGTTAATAAGGTCACAACCAGGCATTATTATGGCAGCGGTTCAACTAAGTACAGCCTCACTGGTAATTTGCTGATATTGCTACTTTGCATCAACGCTTAAATCTGCACCAAGTCCCAAGCGTTGAAGCTAAGGGTTATATCATCATGATAAGTATATCGACTTTGCTGCCGATAGTAGATACTACTTGAACCACCGCTTGGGGTGCTGGGGCGAAAGCTGGAGTAGGTGTGCAATTCCATGCATGTACGTTGTGCCATGCCATCACTGAACTCAAGTTCGAGGGTAAGTAGTAAGTCGTGCTCCTCCCCCGTAGATCATACCGAATACCGACGGGTCATTCGTGAAACGTCAGAATCGTATGGTACAAGTACCACTTACTCACATATGGCTTTACTCCAACATACCGGTCAATCAATGTTTTACACGGAACTAGCAGAGCTACCCCTTCCTGTGTCTGCTGATTTCGTTGGCGGTGATGGTGCGTCCATCAGCACAGTAATCAGTGACTTTTGACAGTAATAGGTAGGAACCCGCCCAGTTGCAAGAATTACTTATTCTGCCATTCGCGATCGTAACACCAAGCGATCTTTCACCAAGACGTTACTTCTGACCAACAGACAACCTCTGCCATATTTAATGATTCCTCTGAAGTCTAGGCGTTTTTAACGTCTCCTTCCAAGTTTCGTCAGGCAATTCTGCAAGAGGTCACCAATGGCACAGGTACAAACCGATTCGTGGAGATCTGGGGCAGCACCCAGATAGAGGCATCCTTAGATGTCACTAAGCACCCATGATGTTTTCCATACAGATGGTCAGTTGAACGACCTTTGTAAAGGCCCACGAATACATGCTAATCTGATTTAGAGGTCTTATCGTCGCTCTCATTCTCCCCGTCAGAGACATCCCTTCTTTACACTGCAGAAGCAAACGTCAATGGCGATGACGCTTCAGACGATCCTTACCCCAAATTCAGATATACCCCGAACTCTGAAGAACCGCCTCGCGCTAGGAAAAGACCAATGATCTTTCTATTCCGCTGGAGAAGGTCCACGACATTCATCAGGGCTGCTAAGCAAGACATACTACTTTTTGCGTTGTCAATGGCGCAGCGTACCCGAGTACCCGTCTCATTCGGCCAAGCCACTTTCGCAACAGAAGATGTTATCTTCTCCACTGGACACGACCACACCAAAGACGGTCGACTCCGGGGGTTAAAGGATACTTCAACCGTCGCATGGGTAGCAACTTGGACCCCCTGAGTCAACAAACTTGCATGGAACATCTTTGGGCACTAGAATCTCGTGCAACTCGTTGAGACTGACACCATCAGAATGATCTTGCCGTTCACCTCGCGTGTATTCGAAGACCCTCAGACGGCCATTACACTCTTCTGGTTCTCAAACCCCGTTGGCGGTGCTCATGCATCTCGCGTTTCTCTGGAATCTCGCAACCTCACCACTGGTATCCACAAAGTCCTCGTGGATACCGTCATAGAGCCCACCCCCGAAAACGACTTTCCAGGGCTATATACCGGATATAACATACCTTCCAGGCCCGTTATCGACGCGGAGACATCGTACTCCGGTCCTTATGGCGTTCGCGCACAACCCTGCTCTTCATTGATAAAGAAACAGGAGCGATCGCAGACGTGACAAAAATACGCGACGGCTAACCTATGTACAGTTGGAATATGCTTGCTACAGACGGCAAGATACGCGTTATCTGTTCGAGGAGCACGCCTACTACCCCATCTGAAGTATTGCTAGGATACTTCAATCAACATGGCGGCCTTAATTGGAAAGTCACCGACGATTTCTGCAGAAAGTACGTTCGGGTCACTTCGGTTCCTTGTCAAGTCTCATCATGCCTTTCAGCTGAGAAAGCGTTCAGTGACCTCACTGCATCAATTATACCCATTGGTGCGCGTCCGCCGACAGAGAGCCTCGTTATTCAGTCAAAGAAGCTCTCATCGGAGCCTGGACCCAAATCTGTCTGCGTGACCATTCCACATGGAGGACCTCATTCATCGTCGACGACAACGTTCTCGCCAGCTACCGCCGCACTAGCCCTAGAAGGATGTAAGTATCTCTTCCAAGCTACGCGACTATTGATTACTATAATCACGCTTTTGCAGATACACACTCCCTTCCCAACTATACCGGCGCCATGGGATTCGGCAAAAAGTATTTCTCGGACATTGTGGGACGATGGACGCAGACGTAGTAGAAAGCGTCGACGAGCTTGTCCGACTTGATATCTCAGAGCACGGACGACAAGTCGTCCAAGGCGCAAGTCACGGCGGATTGCTCTCCGCGCACCGTAAGACCCCCTCTCTCCCAACGATGCCCTTCTTACACGCTTGACGCTTTTTAGTCATAAGACAATACCCAAATCTATCCAATGCAGCAGTCATGCACAATCCAGTTATCTCAGCAGGAGAGACAGCCCCGACTGGATCTACGCTGAATTCGGACTCGAATTCACCCCCCAGTCGCTCATGACGCCCGCCACGTACCAAAAGCTATTCGAAGCATCACCGATCACGCATATCGATTGCGTGCGTGCGCCAGTTTTATTGCTGCTCGGAGAAGACGATCTGCGTGTGGTCCTGACGCAGGGGGTGCAGTTTTATAATGCGCTCAAGGGGAGAGATAGGCAGTGGAGATGCTGACGTTCACGAAAGAGACACATCTGCTTGATGGGGTCGAGACGGCGAGGGTTTCGTGGGAGGCTGCGAGGGATTGGTTTAAGGCGTTTGCGGAGCAACATTGATCATGCAGCGCAAGAGAGTCGCAATCTGTTGAAACCATTGACCTATTTCCATGGATTTGGTAGCAATATCTAACATCTGATAGAGTTCATCGCATTGGACGAGGGCTCGCTGTGTCTGTGGTCCTGTGAATGCTTGCAGTGAGTTCATTGTCTGACACAGCTCGGTAACCACATGCTCACCTTCAGCAATGAGGGCATCTGCACTACTGATCGTCTTGATAAGGCTAAGTATTGAGAACTAGCGAAGGACTGGCGTATGGTTGAGAAAGATTCTTTGGAAGCTGAGTTATGTTGTCTCAGTGTTTCCATCAATTATAGCCACAACCCCATCACCTTTTTATCGTAGAAACACAAGTATTATTAGATACGGAGTTTGACATAGCTTTATGGCCAGAATGCCAACGCTGCAAGAAAGAGCTCGTCAAGATTTGTCAACACCGTGCCCTCCTTCGTGCGTGTGACAGTAGATGGTAAGCTCATTGCGGCAGAAGACTATGAGTGTACGCTTTGTGTAGCAATGAGCTTCACCCTACCCTCGTTGTGTCAAACATGCTAAGAATGTGTCCTAGCTTAGAAGTTAGGAGTGCGCAGCGTCCAATTGCCTTGCCAAATATGACATTGTAAAATGTGGAATGCAACTCTCTCGTATCTCGTAGTGCACCGCAGCCCTTTCATTTCATGGTATGCTACTGGGTGTTTTGGACATATTACAAACTATACCCATCCACGTCAAAGAAACGTGACGAGGACTGCTTCCGTCTCTTGCAGGTCCACTCCAGAGCTGACAGGTAATGTGTCGACAGTCAGAGGCCCGCTAACTCTACCGTCACTAGTCTCGTACGTCTGACCTCCCCAGGTCAGATTAGTGGTATCGGAGGCATACCTGCGGACAGCCTTAGCATTCAGAACGCGACTATCGATGGAATGGGACATACCTAATTTTCAGCGTCTTCACGCTCATCTCCTTCGCGGTATATCCGGAACCAGTGAAAGAAAAATCAATGTGAGTCGAGTTCCTCGCACCAGCGCCGGCAAAATATGCGATCGTGTTTATGAGCACGGCTTTCGAGAGGGTACCATGCTCATAAAATGCATAGCCTGACACATTATTCTCGTCAATGACAATTTCGACTGCTTGCGTTGTTCCAGATGTCCCGATAGCCTCTGCGACGATGATAGCGGCATAGTATGGTGGCTGTATGTGTGGTGCCAGTGACCCAATTGGAGAGCCGTCGATGATTGAATAGTCAAGCGTCACGGGTTGAATCTGTACAGAAGAGGGTTGAGCGACGCTGCGATGCCTCAAACAGGTACCAACCAAATTGTACTTGTAGCCAACGCCCTGGTGGAAATGTATGCGACTGATACCGACTTGTGTGGCATATAAAGAGTAGTCGAGTAACCAGAGGGCAGCACCAGCTGTATTACTGACATCTAATAGAAAAGGACGATCGTATGTAAGTCGTTCTGTCGTCTGTTCACGTTGGCAACTTACTAGGTGTACCATGGCAACTCATACCTAACAATCAGTTAGTAATTTCGGCGCTGTCTAGCACCTCTCAGGCAATAACTTACTGTTTGTCTCCCCAAGGATGTAGTTCAGACCATTGGCAAAGGTTGCTTCAATATCAGGGTTAAACACGGAGATGTTACCGCGGATATAGCTTTTGGTCATCAAATCCTGCAGCACGGCTCCACCTCCAGAACAGAATGAGCCACTGTATAGGTGTTGCGAAATGCTAACAAGGTAATTTAGCACGCTATCCAGTTTCTGACGCCGAATTTGACATACGTCTCAATTAGCTGGCCTGCAGGAGATTTGAGGATGCCGAGATTAAATATAGCTTGAGGAGAGAAGCCGTTGAGGTTGTTGTGAGAAGATCCAGCGAACGCAGCGCCGATCAGTTTTGTATATGATGTTTTGGAGAGCTTGGCTGTCATCGAAACGTTATACGCAAACTCCTCCCACCTTTATGCTGATCAGCACCATTCAGGAAGTCATTGCTGTGAACTTACTCGGAGACATATTCTTGCACATTCCAGATATTTTTACTACGACTACCATCGTCGTGGTAGTAATCAGCCTCGTTACCGACCTCGATGAACTTCAGCGTGATACCCTTCTCTACTACAGCAGGGGAGGAAAATGCGTTGATGAGTGCGACAGTTTCGAGGTAGACCGCTGTGAGGTTGTGCTCCCTCAGGTTGACACCCCAGTGAACCTGCGTCCCTGAAAGTAAAAGAGCATCAGTCGCTTGAGTGTCCCCGTAAAAATATATTACCCTGTGGAAGATGAGAGATGATGTCATAGAAACCTTGCCCAACAATGGTACTGTAGGCTTCTGGGTATGGCATGATGGCAGTCGAAGCAGAGAACATATTTTCTTCATACTGCGTGCGATTTGAACACATGTCAATTTAATATCAAAAGAAATTACTTCGATATCATAGCTGAAGTCAGTGTGGTCCTCCGAGTCAGCGCCTATTCTCAAGAAGGGAGGAGTGTTGGTTATTTGGACCAAGTTATCAAGGACGTTGTTGAAAAACGTGTTAGGTTCTGTGCTCCCTGCCCAATCGACCCATCTATCTTGCTCGATTGAAAGTGAAACGAGGTTGCCCATAACTGATGCTGCACCCGAGGGTGCAGCGAGCGGGATTGTAACCTCGATCGCCGAGACAATTGGAGCGACGAGCATGAAGAAGTAAGTACCTTGCATACACCACGACATGAGGGACGCCTTCTGGCGAAAAGCTATAAAAGACTCCAGTTCATATCTCTGAGAGCAACTCGATTATATATACGGTCGAAGGAGGGCTGAGATGACCGAAACTACAATTCGATGCTGTGGACACTGAGCCTCGTGGCCGTGGACACTTGGTGGACAATTATAGCACCCGCATGAGTGCCACGCATGTGTGCTGTGGTGGTCGCATCGGGGAGTCCGTGACGAGGGCGCGATGTACCTGAGGCTTCGAAGTCTGTTAAATTAGCGCGTTTTCTCCATAGGAGCACATCACCGTCAATTCACCGAGAAAAAGGATAATCGTATTCTCCGCCGATTTTACGATCCAGTAATTCGCAGACCTGAGCAAGATGTTAACGATCATTATCATCTTGAAGTCAGTTGCCTAAACCGGTATGCTGATATAACCAACTTCCGATTCAGTTGAAGTCAGTCTTTACTGGTACCATGGCAGACGTCCGTGCCCTGCTCAAAGCCAAACGCCAAGAGGCGCGTGTAAACCATCCGCTAGCTTCTTATACGTCAACCGGACAATTACGATGCTCCGTATGCGGAACGAATATCAAACATGCATCTGCTTGGGATGGTCATCTCGGCAGCAAAGCACACCGTACGAATGTGTCTCGCGCTAGGGAAGAGGAGAGGGTTAAGGAACAAGAACACGTTGAACAGGAGGCTAGAAATGCTAAAAGAAAAGCTGATGAAGACGCCTCGGGTGGAGATGCAGCTAAAAAGCAGAAAACCGAGCCTGCTGCCTCAACTCCTCGTTCTAGCGCATTTCCGTCCAACTTCTTCTCTGATCCGTCAAAAGCGCCTCCACCGCTCCTTTCAGATGATTCGGATGACGAAGAGGTGGACTCATCGACTGTTGCCCCTGGGAAGGTGTCGGGATCACATAATGTTGGCGTGGCTCAACCAGAGCTTGACCAAGAGTGGATCAAGTTCCAACAGACGGTGATTAACGCTCCTGATGACCGCGAAACATATGATCGGGCGACTGTATTTGCGGAACCGGAGCTTGTGTCTGATGCGGCAGAAGGTTTCCCGCCACTGCAGGGTGAAGAGGATTCTCCACAAGTTGAGGCTAAATTAGACCCGGACGAGGAAAGGCGGAGGAAGGATCAGGATGAAAGGGAAATGATCATGGACCGCTTATTGGATGAGGAGAGGGCGCAGGAGGAAGCAGACATGAAAGTCACTGTAATGAAAAGCAGATTGGAGGCATTGAGGATAAAACGAGAGATTGCACGGACAAAGTCAAGAATCGCAGCGTAGCAATGTTTTCGATGCTTATCCCCCAGGTGTAATATACCATGATTATTATAATTGGATGGCGTCTAGGTATACTTATGGTTTTAGTACATCTGCTCCATCCGACGGCACCTCTTCCTCCATTCCTACCCAACGCCTCCAATCTAGCCCTTGCTTGTGAACCATCATCAGAGCCAGCATCACGGGCAGATACCACAGGTAGTGTTGAAAGGTCACCCTCGCTTCTTTTTCTCCACAACGGCGCCACCAGTTCCAGGAACCACGAATGCAAATTGCATTTGGAACTAAGCTTGTGACAGCAAAGGCCCACGTAGTCAATCCTGACAGTGGGAACATGATCGAACAAATGGGGACAAGGAGCAAGGAGTGGCGGAGAGCCACAAGAGCATTCTTCTGCGGGTTTAACACGCAAAGCATCTTATAACCTGCTTGAGCGTAGGAACCTCGAATAAAATGCGACAACGAGTTGAAGTGAGGGAATTGCCAACTGTAGAGAAGCATGAATAGTGCGAACGCGCCAAGGGGGTTATCGATCATGGACATGTCCAGTGGTGCCTCTGTAAGGAACGAGGGAAGGAAAAGGTGAATCGGATAATCTTCAGTCGGGAGAAGTTGTCCGCCGCAGGCTGTCCAACCCATAAGAGGCGGGATTCCACCGACGACGGCGCCCACCCAGGTGTTAGATACGCTTTTACGTTTCAACCAAGTGTACGCCACTGCATAGAGTACAATGTTCGCTGCGCCGAGACAGGCTGCGAGTGGGCTCGCCATGAACCACAGTACTGCTGGTCCTGCTACCCCTGTCACAGCAGCAAACCCAGCAGCATGCAAAGGGGAAATAGCTCTGCGGACCAGTGGTCTTTGGCGGGTGCGAGCCATTTGGGCGTCATAAGGTATTTCCTGAAGTTGATTCAGAGTATTCGCCGATGCTGAACACAGGGCCGTGCCAACAGCTGTGGAGAGAAGAATTGGGACTGTTGCAGGAAGTGGGGAGAGAGCGACCCCTGACATTGCGGTCAAGACGACCAAGAAGGTCAGGCGTGACTTGGCAAGCTGCGCGTAAATCTTCAACAGGCGTCTTGGGGTGAGCACTTCGACTTCTTTGAAGCCTGCAGGGGCGATATGAACTGCATCTGGTTCTGCGACTGCATGTGCGATTCCCCGGACACGAATTATCTCGGAAGGTTTTGTGCTATCGATGCGAGTAGACCACTGTTGATTGTGACAAAAGAAGGAGGTAAAGTCTCGACGCGCAGAAGACACAGTGTACGGTCTGCTGAAAGCCGCGGAGGCCATAAACTTTTGGCTAGCGAGAGAGCGTGATGCACTTGATGTGCAGGCAACAAAATGTTTGCTACATGACTGAAAAGCATGTATTTTCCTCATTTCTAGATACAAAGCAGCGATTTTTGTATGAGCTCGCTGTTATGAATAGCGAGGACGTACTCACCTGCACCAGCGCACAGACCAAGGTTTCAGTAAGCGGAGTTTGAACGCCTTCTCACAGCAACTTGTTACACGTTTTCTAAAAAGTTTACAGTTGCGTTCATACTGCTGCAAGTACTGCAAGTTTGCTCACGTCGTCGCAAGGCCCCGCCATACTAATACCTTGCCATGCCTGGCACACATCTCCTCCCGCCAAATCTTCTCAAGCTATTTGCACCTCGACCGCCGCTTCCTTATGCACGACCCGTTGGCAAAGACATCCACCGCGTTACTTCCAAAGATGTTGACGGCGTTGCAAATATCCTAGCGCGACTCAAGGAAGTCTCGACCGCATCATTAATCGCAGGCAATGGTGAAGTAGGAGACGGAATGGAAGAGGGCGAGGAGCCTGCATTCACACTAGCCGAAGAAACAAAACGTCAAATTCGGAGAGAGGAACGCAAAAAGAAAAAGACCGAAGAGTTCAAGATTGCTAAGGAGACTTGTGAGTGGTCATTTTCGTCGGCGTGATATGAGTCCTCACCGTTTATAGACAAACCCGCGGACGATGCGGAAGCCATTGGAGACCCATATAAAACACTCTTCATCTCACGTCTGGTTAGCCGCATCATTTCCAATTTCAATTTCGTGCGTTCTGCTGACGTTTTCATGTAGAATAAAAATGCAACGGAAAGTGACCTCCGACGCGAATTCGAAAGCTTTGGCACCATTGAACGGGTAAGACTGGTACGAGACCAGAAAGGCCGGTGCAGAGGTTATGCATTCATTGTCTATGAGCGCGAACGAGATATGAAAGGTAATGATGGTAAAAGCGTTATTTTTTCTTCTTCTGTACTGAGCTCTTCTTAGCGGCTTATAAGGAATCTGATGGTTTACATATCATGGGCAAGCGCATACTTGTCGATGTCGAACGAGGCCGGACTGTGAGGGGGTGGAAACCCCGTCGTCTAGGTGGAGGTCTTGGCGGACGCCCAAAACCAGTTGAACAACCTGTATTGCCCCCTCCAAGACCTACCGGTGACCGAGGCGGTTTTAGGGGTGGAGGGAGGGGTGGAGGCTTTCAGCGACAGAGGTGGCTTCCGAGGCGGTCGCGGCGGTGGATTTAGAGGTGGTGGTGGTGGCGGCGGCGGCGGCTTTGGAGACCGCGGTGGCGGCTTTGGAGATCGGGGTAGTGGTTTCGGAGACCGAGGTGGTTTCCGCGGAGGTGGTGGTGGTGGCTTTCGAGGTGGACGCGACGATGGCTACAGGTCGGTTTAAATATTCTACATCATTTTCATTTCTGACTTATTCTCTCCAGGGGTGGTCGAGGCGGGGGCGTTGGTTACCACGGAGGTGGATTTGGCGGTGATGCTCCTGCTAATGGCTTCGGCCCTCCAGGTGCTCAGGGACCTGGTGGTCCGGGTGGCTTTGGCGGTCCTCCACAACAAGGCTATGTACCACCAGGCGGCGGCTTCGGTCCAGGTAGAGGTGGATTCCGCGGAGACCTCAAACGTGAAGGACCTGGTGGGTACGATGACAGGGACGCTAAACGACCGCGATACTAGTTGCGGCCGGGTGAGATACGTCCAGCTTTCTCATTTTCTCACATGCTTCTTGCTTCAAGTCCCATGACTCCGCGCTAGGTGGGGTGTGTAAGTACTGAACGCTTTTGTTGTCACATTGCTCTGCAGCCTTCGCGTAAGTATCACTATTTTATTACTAGGTGCCCTATTTTTATGGGTGATTGGCATTGATCGTTCCGATTGAGGCGAACGTGAGTATACCATGCTATACGACCATCTTCAGCGTTAGCAATTATGATGTACATAGCTACATATCCTGGCGATCGTGTGCAGACGTCTGACGAGATGACAGCGTAGCAAGAATTCTAAGACAAGGTTTTGTTGATGTTACTATTATGTACTATGTTCTGTTCGGATGATCCTCGGGCCAATCACCTTGGATATTCGTGATAATATCAAACGCCCACCTCAATCTGAGATTACTGCTTGTTACTGCTGTTAGTTTGTGACATGTCGCCCGTGGTTACCCATCAATGGTCAAAGCAGAGGGGACCCTGTACGGTACTGACGGTAAGTAATACGTACCGTTTATGAAAGTGCGGACCGCTCGCTGGCGCTGAGCAGTATACACGGTACCAGCTGTCGTCACGAGGCTGCGTGTCATCCAACTCAACATTTCGTACTTAGATCGCTGCTTTCAGATTAGCCTATCAGTGAGTCGGACCCTCTTGCTTTAAGGACCGCCGGGAAAACCAGTCTTTCGGATCCTTCGGAAGAGAACGTCACGGATCACAGGCTAGCACAGGTACGTAGAACGTTGACGCGCCGGGACTCGATCCTTACACGCTAACTGTCTGCTTGCAAGCTTATCGTTTGTTCCCTTGACAGTGAATGGTAACTTGGTATGTTAGACCGTCATTGAAGTGAGGCATGGAGGACCCTGCACGACAACGTTTTCGAGCCCGAAAGCGTCCGGATGTTGACATGTTTTTCTATCGAAAACATGGAAATTTTTTTGGCGAAAAAGGCTAGTTCTCATGTTGATCATTTGTTCCGAACTGCATAGCAACTCCCGGTGCCGCAACTTTTTGTTCTCCCGCATCCTATGAGGAAGGTCCGAATGTTCACATCGGTTTGTTTCAGAGAGCCGGATAAGAAGAAGTTGGAGTGCCAGCACACCAGATCGTGATGCAACATCGGGTGTAGGCTTTGCTTACTTGACAGACGAGTTTGATTAACCGCACGAACACGCGTCACGGTATCTGCACGCCAATGGCAGCAGTTCCTGGAACCTATCAAAGATTCAACTCAGCCCACTACCCGAATCCGACAGATCTTATCAGTCCAAACTAGTCTTTCATTGGGAGCTGGATTACAGCATAAACTTGACCCTACCCAAGGATTTCGTTCGCTTTGCAGAACTGGCTAACAAATTTTATGACAGTCTGGGTACCTCCGGTTTTTCTTTGCTGTTTCAAACTTGCTCAAGTGTCTTTTACGCAGTGCGTCGAGAGTAGTCGTCATAGAACGGAAGTAGACATCTCCCCCAACTACGGTTCCTTGGTTGGTACCCCGATCCGGTGAGTTCCCTTATTTTGGCTTTGATCCGTACCTCCCTCTCTCCCGCCATGCGTGAATTTTCCTGCGCGATCCATCTTTCTCCTTCCTAACTTGCCTTTTGTATAGGCAGCGTGATCGTCTGATCTGGCGCTCGTTTTGGCCTGCCATCTCTGTCACCCTTTCTGGCTCCCTTTTCCTTACAAGGCCTGGCTGCGTCTTACTCAACTCAACATCTTGACATAAGGGTAACCGATCTCCGGTTTTCGCGACTGCACCAAAAGGCCCCCAAATAAACAGGTGGAAGGGATAAGCTCCCTTTCAACGATCGTCTACTTTTTGCTTCCTACTTCTGTCGCTGAACTTGGAAAGAGGGTGTGAGACCTCTACTCAGAACGCATTTCGGGCGTTCGACTCTGGACGCACATGGCACAGGCAGGTTATGATGAGCTGCCAAGGCACCCCCCACACTGTGCAAATCCCCATGCTGCGTCGGACTGTTCGCCTTCTCCTGTTAGCTCGTCAGCTCAGTCTCCGGTGAACGTTGGAGCCGTCCGACCCAGTTCCGCATCGCTATCAGACAGCAACGAGGCAGATACTGGCAAGGGCCCATCTTCTGGCCCACAAAGGTCAAAATCCATCAGCGGCGTAGGTGCCAAGTGGGAAAGAGAGAAGCGAAAGCGTTCACGTGTCACTCCTGAACAACTTATCCATCTGGAGCGCTTCTTTTCGATGGACAGAAGTCCCACTGCAGCGAGGAGGAAAGAAATCAGTGATTTGCTGGGCATGCAGGAACGACAAACACAAATATGGTTCCAGAACAGGTTCGTAACTTCTCCGTCGCGCACAAGCACCGCTGATGACGGTCCCTCAGACGCGCAAAGGCCAAACTGCAAGATGGCAAGAAGGGTCGAGGGGACGGCGCTGAAACCCCACCGGATACCCCCCCGGAATTGGCAACCGGATATGAAGCAGAGCTACACAGCCTCATACATGAAGACGAACGTAAGTCGCCACATGTTCGGGGATTGGTTCCTTTACTTATGCTGTTTTTGCTACCAGCTGTGACCATTATTCCCTGCAACGATTTGTCGATAGGGACGTGGCGTCGCATTGCGACAGCCGTAGGGAAGCACGATCTCGTGGCGTACCTGTGTGACAGCAGGCGCTGTTTAACGTGGTTCATCCACTCCGCGGGTTATGGCTTCAAGATGGAAATTCCTTTCGACATTATCGTCGATACAGAATTCACAAACGCAGCGCCAGGGTCTGGACTGGCTTCATTTATCCTTTCACAACCACCAACCTTTTACCTCGAGTCTTTTTCAACTCCTGGGCCTGGACAGGCACCGGGGCAAATTCGGCAATGGAAAAAATGTGCGGATTGGACAGAAGGACAACAAGCTACAAAGATTCTGCGTCATGACTTGATAGGTTCGGCGGTACAGCTTGCACACCTCCTACGCCACCTGAACGCCCATGCTTCTGGGTCGGATATCCGACTTCATTCACCATCTTACTACTCTCAGGAGCCATCGCCACTTCTCATGGAGGTCCCTCAACCTCCCATGGCTAACTTAGCAGGGCCTGCATACCCCTACGGCGGAGATGTTAACGACTCTAGAAGGGTAGAACACCCTGTCCACATACGAAGAAGATCCTTTTCGGGTGGTGGCGTGCGATTGAGTCATATGCATCGGCCTGGTCATCAGTCTCTCGCTGTGGACTTGCCTGTCAACCCGACACCAGGGCCGCACTCAGCGCCATACGGTACATCCTTCTCACCATATTCCAGCCGTAATCATCCATCCATCCACTTATCGTCTCATTCGCCCATGTACTCGGAATACGGGAACTCCGTGTCAACGCATAGTATATCGCAACAATCTCAATCCCCTGTCGACTACGGTCCAGATACCCAGAGCGTCCCCCCGCGTTCCTATTCATCCGCCCCAGTTCATCAAATGTATGATGGCACTATGTCGATGGCTTCTCCGTATTCTAGCAGTGGACCCACCCCTAGTTCCACTGCCCAGACACCATTCGCTTCCCCTTCTCCACCATTGCTAACGACTCCATTTTATCCTCACACAAATGACTATAGCACACGGGGCTGAGCCTCACTAACTCAGCATACACTTCTGGTATGCGTGGTATACGTTACGAATACGACCTGATCAAAAATTGTATCAGCCTGGACCTTGCGCTGTTTTGCATGGGTTGCCTAATAATTTTTCGCCTTCCTTCGCGGTACATACTTCATTTACCTTCGCATCGCAAGTTGATTCCTGACATTCTAATACCCTACACTGGTTTCACATTTTTTGTACCGGGTCGGTCATATCACGCTGGAAGCATAATCTTCCTGAACGCTGGTACACGTCATTATTTAATATGCTACTTGTAATACAATGATACCTTTTCGTACACCATAGCTCGCACAGTAGCTGACAATAAATCCTCCCTACAAGCTTCATGGTGTCTGACTTGGACGTGGAGCAGTCGTGATGGACACGCAGGTGAGATTGTTGAACGACTAACATGAAAGCACAATTAACGGAATGGGGCTGTATGAATACAATATGGCGACTATATCTGATTAATTTGTCGCTGCTCCCGTTCTCTACTTAAGCGGGCTGTGTAGGTTTTGCTGATCATATTGACTGCGGGGTTGTGAGTGGCTGCATAACAAGGCACCTCAGCCGGGGACTCACATGTTTCCAGATAACGTTCGAGACATCGTGACAGGCATGTCTGGATTTTAGAAAATATTAGCATCTTCGCCGCCAACTCGATGAGTGCACCCACCTCCTCTGAGCCGGACAAGGAGGTCCCAGGCTTCGCTACGCACTTGGCGAAGCATTTTTCGTTCGTTTTCTGAAAGGCGTTGTTACTGTGAGCACCAGCAGCAATGGAATGACAGGGATCACACATTTATAAGCTCTTGCGCACTGGCTAGGGCAATCTCGGAGCGCACACTATTCATCACGGCTTCTTTCTTTGCGGCCATGTCTGCAAAGGATATGTACTGAGTAGGAGTCGGATTATATGACTGCATGTCGCATACCTGAAGGGGAACTAGACGAAGACGGCGACTTGAAGAAGTCAGACATGTTGTAAAGCGGGCAAGAGCACAAGGAGCTAGTGATTTAGAGCTTGGATTCCTTGAACGACTTGGTTGAACGAAAATCCAGTGAAGCGATGACGGTTAATGTGTGACTTCGGGAGCAATTGGTAACTTTAACGGCACGGAATCTGTACGGCGATGAACCATGCGATTGCAGTAACGGCAGTCATATACATTCATGGGTGCACGCGAATCCGTAGGTCGCAACACCGAATCCGAAGATGCAGTTCCCGATTACTATGAGCTGCTGGGTGTCGAGGAATCGGCAAGCGCTGACGAGATCAAGGTATGTCAATATGTCACATCAAGTGTTCAACGTTCATGGTCTAATCGCCCTCAAGAAAGCCTTTCGAAAATTAGCCCTTGTCCATCATCCCGACAAAAACAAAGATGATGTCGAAGGTGCCACAAAAAGATTTGCCACTATCCAGCAAGCATATGAGGTGCGAGTTCTCACCCCTGGTGATATCGAAGGCTCATCGCATGTCGGATCGAACAGGTGTTGAGTGATGACCAGGTTTGTACCTGCTGTCGCGGTGTTCTGTTGCGTCGGTCTTGATTGTCCCGCGTAAGTAGGAAAGAGCCTGGTATGACTCTCACAAAGCATCTCTGGCACCAGAACCGGATGCGGAAGCCGTCTTCGAGGACATTCGAAAAGGCGCTCCGCCTCCCCGCGCCCGCGACAGAGGCCTGACTGTCAGACATCTTGCTCAATTTTTTGATGCGACTGTCTGGTCAGGCTTTGATGGTGGCGAGAATGTGCGTTCCACATTCTCATATATACCCCCATAACCACAATGATATACATACAATGAATTCTAACTCACGCTCACCACCACTAGAGCTTCTTCACAATCTACCACAACCTCTTTACACGTTTGGCGCAGGAGGAGAACCTCATCTCTGAGATCGACTATCCCAGCTTCGGAGATCCCTCCTGGCCCTGGTCTACGCCCAAGTCGACAGGCCAGCCCGCTGCGCGCGATTTCTATAATGCGTGGATTAACTTTGTAACCTTCAAGGATTTCGTATGGACGGAGCAGTGGAATCTTGCAGAAGCGCCCGATCGCCGAGTACGACGGTGAGTGGTAGCGTTTGACGCATTCCGTGGCTGAGTATTTTTGTAGACTGATGGAGAGAGACAATAAAAAAGCCAGGGACGAGGCGCGAAAGGACTACAATGAGACTATCAGAGTAATTGCTTTCATTTTCATCGTACCCAAAGAAGTTCTAAATAGTATGCAGCAACTGGCCCTTTTTATTCGCAAGCGCGACCCGCGGTACAAGGCTCATCTCGCTGCACAAGCTCAGGCCAACAAAACCTTATCACAAGCCAAAGCTCCCACATCTGGATCATCTACACCGCGCCCGCAGCCCGCCAAGGTTTATGTAGAGCAAGACTGGCAAAGAGCAGGTGGCACGGATCATGATGCTGATGCTGACCTCGAATGGGCGGCCGGCGAAGGCAACGCAGAGGAATGGGAGTGTGTCGCATGTGGGAAGACGTTCCGTAGCGAGGCTGCATGGGACAGCCACGAGCGTAGCAAGAAACACATGCGTGAGATCGAGAAACTGAAAAGGGAGATGTGGCAAGAGGAGGAAGCAATCGGACATGTTCCAGAGGAGGGAGAAAGCAATGAGAATGAGGAGGTGGATGGAGACGTTAATAGCGAGTTCGTTCCTTCACCCCCACCAACACCTCCAGAGCCCCCAGAGCCGGTACTCGAAAATAGAGACGCAGATAAAGTCGGTCTACCCACCGAAGAACCCCCGGTTGAAGACGATGACCAACTCATGCAGAAAAGGGGCAAGAAGGAAAAGTCCAAGCTCCAAACAAGACCGTCAAACGATGCGCAAGCCCCCTCCACCCCAATACCAGAAAACGGGGATGGTTCTCAGGATGTAGCGTCTTCCCAGCCCGAGCTTACAAAACGGGAGAAACGAAAGCTCCGAGAGGCGAAGAAGGCTGCCAACGTCGAGGCAGAGCGCAGCATGGTTTGTACTCTCCCTACGCATGGTGGCTTTACTGTGCTGACATGCTCATAGGTTTGCAACGTGTGCAAAATGCCCTTCGAGAGCCGCACGAAGCTGTTTGCCCACATCAGGGACACAGGACACGCACTTGCTGAGCCCGAAGAGCCGGCTCGAGGGAAGAAAGGGCGCAAGGGACGATAGCGATTGGGTTGATGGTGAAGATCGCCATGGATAGAACATGAATCACCGGAACACATAGCATCTCGACACCCTAGAGGAGGAACTAGGATGTGCCATGACATGAAAAAGTGTGACCCACATAGATATACAATCAGCTTAATTAAATGTCCAATACGACTGATAAACACACACAAGTGCCCCACTTGAGCAACGTACATTCAACTATCCCATAAGCTGCGAAACATCCTCTGGTGGGTATTTTGTCTGAGAGAATGTCAAGAGCCTGTGGGGATGCATCAGTTAGAGTCGACAATTCGAAAGGAGCGAGGACGAAAAGAGAGATCAAAAGAAACGAAACGAACCGCTTAAGGCTCTGTATATATTTCCTGCTCACTTCGTCGTTCAACACGTGCGCAACCTGGTCTGTAGAGATCTTTTCACGAGCGGAACGTTCATGGATACTAGAAAAGATATCAAATGACTTGGTTAATCTCGAGTAATGATGAGTGAATAATAATCACGCACCCCACCATCGTAACCCCGATCGGCCATGGCGCATTACCAATAGATAGCCGAAGGTATGAATCGTTCGCTCTCTGGTATTGCCGCTTTTGCATGTGATAAACTATTTCAGCTATGCGTGCAAGCATGTCCGGCGGTAAATTCTGAGATGATAGTGAGTTTGGTGATTCCGCTTATAAATGAAAAGGTGGTCTGTGGTGATCACAAGTGGCGTGTATGAAGTTTGGACAAACGGCAGAGCCATAACAACGATATGCGCAAAAACAAGAAATAAAATGGTCGAGAAAAACGAAAGAGCAAACTCACCCGTGAACGAAGTGTCTTGAACAGTGGCTTCAGATACTCGGCAGACTGAACTTGTGTTGCTGCAGCCAGTTTACCCTGATGAGTCCGCTTGACGTTTTCTGCTCCTCCGTTAGACATATAGAGCTAAGACTCGCGGGGAACATACCTGGTCGTTCATTCATCGCCTCCTCCCACTCCTTGAGGGTCCGCTTGAGTGCGTAGTATATGATGGGGTACAACTTATCCGGGTCTGTCTTTATCAATTCCAAATCCACCATGGCTACACTCCCAGTGCTGTTGTTCACTTCTCCATCATCCTTCTTCTTCCCCTTATCGTTCTTGGCTCGCAGTTCCCTCTCTACGCTCTCAACATCTTCCAGTGCCTTCCTAAAATCATTCGTGCCAGCTTTCTCATGCCCACGCTCTTCTATGAGTTCGAGAGCACGCAAACGCAAGCGCCGGTCACGGTCGCTTTCACCAAAGAGTCGGATCGGCTGGCCTTTGGCTCGCAGTCGGCGGATAGTTTCATTGTTTGGGATGTTAAATGCACTCTCTAGGATTGGCGAGTCTGTGTCGCGGCTTTCCGGCAAAGGAGTGTTAGAAGTGGAGCGCGAGGAAGTGTCAGCCTATTCTCCAGCCCATTTGAGAATCTACCTAGTAATGAAGATGACAGGATGAGCTCACCTTTTTCTTCTGCACGTTTCTTGCTAGCGCAGCATTCCTCTCTGCTGCTACTTCTGCAGCCCTTTCTTTTTCTCTCTCTTCGCGTGCTTGCCGTTCTTCTTCTTCTTTCATGCGCTCGAGTTCACCGCGACGCATGTACTTGGATGGTACGTGTTTCGGTGTCATTCTGCACGGCCTTGCGCTTGAGTGCAATTTCAGCTTTGAGAGCATCCATGATAGATAGGGACTAAGTAAGTCACCGTCTGTGAAGTGAAAGTCAGAATGTAGTCCTGCTGACTAATCATCACAATACTTACTCCGTCCAAACCCGACTCTGAGGTTTCTAAGACCGCATCCATCCACACAAAAATGTCTGACTCTGAGACTGCTGATCTGTCGAGGTTCGTCTGCATTCTCTTAGTCGTTCTTACTTTCGGCTCACAGAATATTAGCAAATACGTCCTCCAAACCGCTGGTTTTGACGGTACGTCTGTCTTCCTCGTTCTCTGTTGTACAGTAGCTAAGTGGTTTCGGTTGGATGCAGCTCGCTTTCCGAACACCAACCAGACGCGTCACTGGTGAGCAGCGACAAATTTCGGGTGTGCAATGTGTATTCTGATTGTGTCATGTTACACAAGCTTCCAGAACTACACGGACTACTTCAAGTGCGTTACCGCCAAGGGTGAAGAGTTCGCGCCATGTAAACAGTTCAAGCGCGCCTACAACTCATTGTGTCCTAGTACGTTTCTTTTTACCTTTTTCTACCTAGCGTCCTGACTGTTGTTCTTCTAGATGAATGGGTAGGTGTTCAGTACTATGGCGTAGAGTCCGATTCCTTATGCGTGCTGTTGTATCCAGATAGCGAAGTGGGACGAACAGAGGGAGAACGGCACATTCCCTGCGTCACTAGAGCCTTGATAGTAGACGCTCTTGCACATTTTTTTTTCAATTATAGACTCGGCTGAAAAGCTCTTTTGTCTTGAGTGGATTTTCGCGAACATTTATACGCTGCTTCTACACTTTGGGAATGGGTTTCACTGTTTCCAGCTCCAGCAAGACCTTGTCTGTTCTTAAGCTTAGCAAACGAATTTCTGGGCCACTGTCAGATGCGTAAACATCAAGTCCTTGACCAATGATGGTCCCCCTACAACGCAGTCCTGAACCGTCTATGCTTGCACATTCTACTATAAATTTACATTTGTCCTCATGTTGGCCCGGGGAGACGGTATGTACACCAGTGGTCGAGCAATGGCCGAAGCTACGGTACAGATTGCCACGTGAGATCATGATTCGTGCCAATCCAGCCTTGGAACTTACGTGCATGTCCACAACAAACAATGGATGGGATCAACCTCAACGCTCTGGGCGAGAATGCGACGCGGCTTGGGATGAGGATTCAAGAGACAATAGCTGAGCATACGCGCGATCTGTCGCTGATACGGGGTGGGAGCTCACTGTTTGACATGGCGGACGACAAGGCGAAGAATATAACAAAGCAGCTCGAGTCAAGCAGCGACCGGGAAAAGCTGGATGCCATGAAACGATTGATTGCGGTTTGTACCAGCCAGTGTAGTATCCGTATTGAAATTATAACATTTCGTGTCTCCAGCTCATCTCAAAGAACCGGCCCTGTCTCCTCATATTTCCCCGCTGTAGTCAAGAATGTAGCCAGCACGAACCTCGAGCTACGCAAGCTGGTGTACATCTACCTCCTTCGTTGTGCACCATCTGAACCTGATCTGGCATTATTGTCAATCAATACCTTCCAGCGGGACCTCGCTGACTCGAGCCCTCTCATACGCGCCATGGCTCTCCGCGTGCTGAGCGGCATTCGTGTTCCTACCGTCGCTACCATAGTACTAATGGCCGTCCGTAAGTCTGCTGCAGATCCGAGCCCATACGTTCGCAAGGCTGCTGCCTTAGCCGTTTTGAAGGTATACAAGTGAGCATATCCAATTGCAATGTAGGCATTATTCATCTCACAAATCGTGCGTGTCAAGACTAGACCAGGCACACCATCAAGCGCTGCTCGATATTCTGACGACTCTTCTGCGCGATCGGTCTCCGCTTTCACTTGGCACTGCCGTTCTCGCTCTTGACACCGTTGCGCCATCTCGCCTCGACCTCCTCCATGTACATTTCCGCCGTCTCTGCCGCGCCTTGCCGGACATTGACGCATGGGGACAGGTCGACGTTCTCCGCGTACTCGTGCGGTATGTCAGGACCATGTTACCTAAGCCCGTTTCAGCGAGCGAGAGGCAAGGGGAGGAGGTGGATAAAGATCTGAAGCTCCTGTTAACCTGCGCAGAGCCACTCTTCATGAGCAAGAACCCTGCTGTGCGCATATTTTATTTACTCCCATCATGAAAACCTTGTTGACCAAGCAATCAGGTTGTTCTTGCTGTCGCTCGCGCGTTCTACTACCTTGCTCCTTCATCTATGCTCTCGAAAGTTGCCGCGCCTCTTCTTCGCATCCTCAGTGTGTCACGCGAGGTCGAGCGCGTGGCACTGGCTTACTTGCTCGTCGTGGCACGTTCGCATCCAGTACGTGTATCCGTGGAGTTATGGACTAAAGGCTAACGGTGTTCATTAATTGTCTGTTACATTCTCTCCTCGACTTGATTTTCTCCCATTGCGCATTCACTGTGCTCAGGCTCTATTCGTTAATTATCACACCCGCCTCCTTGTGCGCACAGATGATGCAGAACAGGTCAAGCGGACAAAGATTTGCATTCTCTTGACATTGTGTACAGTTGACAATCACCAGGCATTACTGCGAGAGTTTGTGGTGCGTTTAATACACTTATTTGGAGGCTGTGGTCGCTGATTGCAATCACTTTCTTCCTCCAATACCATCTGACCCATATGCCCGACACTTTGGTCGCGTGCCGCTATCTTTTTCCTTACTCTTGATCCTCCATCTTGAATACAGGACTATGCCCAGGACCCAAACGACTCTGTTGTGGGCGATGCGATTCACGCCATTGGACGCATTGCCAGCCTTGTTCCCCCGTGTACGCCTCAATGCCTCACTGCCCTCATGGGAATGATTAATAGTAAGCAAGGTCACTGTCATCTCTTAATCTCCCCGTAGCACGAGTTGACATTGTTGTGCAGATATCATAGTCTCAAATGCAGTCCTTGTCCTCAAGTCCCTCGTTCAAAATCAACTTCTCACACCTTCCTCTGCCTCTACCACGACTATCGCAACTTCCTTGTCTTCACAGCAAGCTCTCCTCACGTCATCCATTGCCTCGCTGACACCGTCAATTTCTACTTCATTATTAACGCCAGTCCAAGTGTCCTCCACAAGCCCGTCGACAGCCGTAGCCCAAGCCCCACTTTCCATCATTGCCCAACTGGCCCGGCGCATTGATGACGTCCGTCATCCTCACGCACGAGCTTGTGTGTTGTGGCTCGTCGGGCAATACAGTCCAGCCTCGGGCACCGGAACAACAGTGGAAGGTGTAGCAGACTGGGCACCAGACGTACTGCGCAAAGCGGCGAGGAGCTTCAACACTGAGGTGTTTCAACCCCACCTCATGATTCTCCAGATCATGCTAACTCCTGCCAGGCTTCCCTAGTCAAACTTCAAACCCTCACTCTCGCCGCGAAACTGACACTCCTCGCGCCCACGCACCGCACGCTCGTCCTTCTCGCACGGCATGTCCTTACATTGGCTCGGTACGACGAAGATTGGGATGTGCGTGACCGTGCGAGGATGTTGGGGGCACTTCTCGTCGGTGCAGTCGCCGGTGTCGTGAGCAGTAATGGTGAGGAAGGCGTCGGGGAACATTGGGATAAGGAGGAGCAGGCAGGACGGACGGCTGGTGTGGTGTTGAGAAGGGAGCAGGTGATGCGGGTGCTGTTCGAGGGGAAGACTGGGACGATTGAAGAGGAGGCAGTGACCGGTGAGCGTTTCTTTTTTCTGATTTTTGTCAGCCCAGGATTTGCTTGTAAATATGACCCACGCATATTTCCTCTTCATATTTCCCCACCTCCCCCTCATGTCCCACTGACCCAAGCCCTCCATAGACTCTCGTCCACTCGGGACGCTTTCGCTCGTGATGGAGAGGGATGGGTTACATCTGCATGACGATGATGACGACGAGACCGTTGTGGATCTCCCTGAGTGGCTAGAACAGGGCATTGACCCTGCGTTGCGCGATAGCGATGACGACGCACCCCAAGTTGTTTCCTCGGCGTCGACGGTTCAAGCGATATCTTCTCAGGGAATATCGTCCCAGCGCGTGCCAACGTCTGCAACACCACTTGTGCTCACGCCCACAGGGGGATCGACACCAAAGGATACGAAGGACTGGAGGGACTTGGACAAGTTCTATGCGAGCGAGTGCGAGTCTGAGGGAGAGGTAGAGGACGAAGAGGACGAAGCAAGTGGAAATGATGAAGAAAGTGGTGAAGACGACGAGATTTCGGACAACGAGGGGGATGAGGAAGACGAGGAGGAAGGAGTCGCAGAACATGACTCTAGTTCAAGCCATGAAAGAACACGATAGCTTCTTAGTCATTGAACCTCGGTTTGGACTCTCAACTCGTGCTTAGACGTACAGCGTGACTGTATGTAAGCTAACTGCAGATTGCACAGTCATGGTGTTTTCATTTCTGTGATGTGTAAAAGATTGTAAACGCCATCTCTGTTTGCTTGGCCCACAGTAGTAACAAGTGCATATCAACATGAGCATTCCTCACCATTGCCCTATCATATCTACACAAGGAAGCGAGTAAAAGATTCTGGGGAGTTGATTCGAGAGGCCATAAGGAGAATACAGTGGACAGGCACGGAGGCGTTCGTAAGGTACAGCAAATAAAGAGGAAGAGACGTAAGGGGCAAGAGCCACGGCGAAACAGGATAAAATAACAATACATGTGTCCATTACACTGATGCAAACACCCTACACCTGGGCACCCTCGGGGAGCTTATAATACAGCGGCTATCATGGATTATTAGTAAGTATGTAAAGTGAGCTTGTAACGAGCTGAAGCCTCACAGTGTTGAACACGTGGTAATAATGCCCTTTCACACCTCCCTCATTCTCGTTGCCGTAGTATTCCATCGGGAACCACTGACACGCAGTTAGCACACCACGACGCAGTAAGGAGATGATACATAAGCCGCACATGGTCCTCGGGAAGATTCTCCTTCCATGACCTTAGCATTCGATCTTCGAGTGTCTGGTTCACAAGCTGGAATCCATGTCGGGGCACGACAAACTGCCCGATCTGCAGTTCTGTATCGGTAACGATGCCTCGTGAAACGCGGGCATACGCAGTCCGGTAAAGTCCCCTATACAATATATACTCGCACCTGCGTATGATGATCAGATTCATTAGCTGGTGGCACTTCAAGTTAGCACCTACCAGCGATCCCAGTCTTCCGGGTCGATATCATGTACGATACCATCGTGTACCAAAATCTCGTAGGGTGCCGCTGTAGAAATCACCAGGACTGAGACAGACAAAGATATAGAGGCCACTCACGTCTGCTGGCGTGTGGTTTCGTGACCACGTATCCAAGGAAGATAACAGGGCGAGGATACGACTTCGCCATGATGCGTGCGAGCTCTTCGCTCTGCAATTCACGGTCCAGCGGGTCTTGCTCTAAATAAATGACACCACATTCATGAACAATTGATTAAAAAGAAACTGCATTCAACGTACCTTGCCCATTATGTGATACGACTACAGTCACCTCTGTCCCATACACATCGAGCACAGCCTCGATTGCCGGTGCAAGCTCGCCATGCGGTGAGGGCAGGAGGTGGTGCTGCGAGTGAACAATAGGGAACTAGCGGAAGCGGTGAGTATGATTCAGAAGTAACCGTTACGAACTAAACCTTGGAGAGTAGAGCAGCACCCCACGTGTGCATGTTAGGTCCTGGACCCAAGTCGACATACTCAAGTTTGGTGTGGTGAGTTCCCTGGACGATCACACTGAAGGACGACTCACATATCCGAGGTCTTCGAGAGCAAGTCGCGTTCTGATATGAGGGAGCGATCAGCCAAGAGCTCATCCGGAGGGACGCAGCACACTCACAAGTCGCGATTTCCATACACCGGTCGCTACAAGTAGTCAGCACACCGGCAGCATCAATTAGCACCGTAACTCACATGCAGATCAGTCTCAAGAAGGCCAATCACGTCAAGTTCCATATCTCTTTACGGCAATGTCAGCAGCAAAGAACCTTGAAATAAATCGCCTTACCTGACTGAGATCTCGGATCAGCCTCTGGCTGTCGTGCCCGATATTATCGATACCAAAATGTACCGTCCATATCCCAGCGTTAAATAATCCCGTGCCAGATTTATACGGTATTGGTCCAATGGGAGCCCAACGGTATATTGTAACAAGAACAGCAGAAAGCGAGAACAGGGTGAGGAGATGGCGAGCAAGGAAGCCCGCTGAGCTCGGAACGGTGTTGGGTACAGTTCTTTTTCTTGACGGCCAATCGAAAACCAGGGACGTTGCGACAAATTGCGCGATAAGGACCCTGATGGTTTAGCATTTCAGCGACCAAGACAGACCTATCTCGCAAAGAACTTACAAGTCCGAGCGCTCACGCAAGTACGTACCCCCTGGCACAAACGCGTAGGCTACCGTCCACACATCGGCAAGAATGAGTAGGACCGTGACGAAGAATGCCGTGAAATAAGTCCTCCCAGCCTTATTCTGCTGGGCAGATTTTTGAATGATAGTAGGGAAGCACTGACATGACAAACACGGCCAGGTTCAGCCCACCAACGAAGCCCGTCCAGTCCCTAAAGCGGTACATCACAAATGCACTTGCTGCAACCGTAGCTGAACCATAATGGAGAGCTAAGCCAGCATCCAGGAAGGACTGTGGACATCGCGAGACCTACAGCCTGCGCGATCAAAGTGAGAGAGCCATGGAGATGTGGGAGAGGGCCTTTGGGTTGGCCATCTTTGTACCCTGTCCAGGACCATGCAATGATAGTACTGGGGTCTATGAGGAAGCAATGGAGCGTGAAGATCATGCTGCCGAGCGCGATGGAGGCGACAAGCCATCCGTCCGAGGATACCTTGCTGTTGCCTTTCGAGCTGCTTTTTTGTTTTTCTTCCTTTTGGGTCTCTGGAACGACGGACGGGCGAGTGGCGAGTTCGTATAGCGCGAAAAGTGCTAGGAAAATTCCCGTTTTGTTGTATCCTCCAGACTCTTCGTTGAGCATCGGCCATACTTGGAAGTAGGTCAGGGGAGCTGAATGTCATGCCAATCCTATAACATACCAGGATTTGTCGAGTGATTCGCGTGTTTCGCTAAAGAGAGTGATACAAGTCCTAGACCGAGGACTGCGTCATATTAGTATCACTGTTAATCCCACTACGCGGTGAACACTCACGCAAACCCTGATACCCATCCTTCCCAGCTGACCAATCCGCGGTCTGTCCTATCAAGAGCACCACATTCGCAAAGTTGACTACAAACAACCTATGCAGGGGACTGTTCAAAGCATAAGATCCCAAGCCCGTCAAAATTGCCACCGCCCTTAACGTGACCTGACCACTGCGCGTAAGCGCCCAACTGTGCAATGGCCTAATGCCCAAAAGCACGGGGGAGAGCAGAACAAGCAAAGATAACTCTGAACCCGAAAGTGCAAGTTCCCAGACCGAGAAATAGAACAGCGTGGTGAGAAGGGAAGTGAAGATGGACCAGAACAAATACGCTGCAAGAATGGTAAAGCTAATATCACTCGATTAAATCGGAACGGTGACACGCACATAAGTACACGTCCGAGATGAGACCCAAGGCAGCTCGTGCATCTGGAGAGAGCGTAAGTGCAGGCTGCGTTCTCTGCAAAATTGTCCGGGGCACAGCTCCTGATACGTGGCTGGCCGTTTTCTCAGTAACTGACAATGTGGCTGGTCCTTCTAATTTGACTTCAGTCACAATACTTTGCCCTTTGGATGGTGTGGTATCAGATCTATAGAGCACGTCAGACGGTGGTCATACAAGGTAATGTACTTGATTATACATGTCATCACGCCCGGCGCTGGCGTCCAACGAAACACCGATGATAATCTGGGGGATAATCAAAAATCAATACCAAGCATCTGAGTTATGCCTACTCATACCTGCAAATTGGAGTCTTTGAAGTCAAGCTCCGCGATAGAGTCAAATAGAACATCAAGCAAGATCAAAGACCACTCGAAAAACGAATAGCGGGTATATGCTGGATTGTTCATAATTGTCAGCCCTAGTTGCACGAAGAAGATCGACTACGACCTCCAGGGATCCTGTGTATCTTGTGCTGAATGAAGAAGTAAATCATGGGTATGATTGACACGAAGAACCTATTCCAAGGAAATGAGTTGCATGTATGCTGGGAGGCTCGATGTTCTTACTAACCCCATTGCAACATATCGACTATAGCCTATTGGTGAGCCCATGCACAGATATTACCATAAGTTAAATCCTCACCGACGCCGACGCGCTTTTACGGTGTCCAACTGGAGTACATAAAACGCCTCCCCACATCCATGGTACGTTGCACAGGATATACGCGATCATAAGAACATCATGCACATCATGATCATCGTTAGGACGTGATAAACACCCAACCACCACACGCCAGTGTCCGAATAATACCCACAGCAAACAAAAAGCCTGGCCAATTGGTGTTTGGTGATCTTGTGAGGAAATACTGCAAAGATACAAGGACGATGCGCGGGCCTGCGTGCGACCATCATAAATAAGCCTCACAAATGAAGTAACTTCGACCGACCAGACGTCAGAGCTATGAGTATCTGAAATATATTACGCTCCGGGTACCAGTCACCGATACTGTGATACAACCACGTCAATGTTAGGGCTAACAGAACTTGAATGAACATACGTGGCTGAGACGGATGGAAACCATTCAGTCCTGGGTATCCAGCGACCCCATTCTTGACGATTTTTTTGTGATGCAGCGCGGATCCTAGAAACAGGGTAAGACCAAATGCGGTGAACGCGAGGTATGTATGCGTTGCAGCGACATGCGATGCGTTGATCACAAGTCGTTGAGCTCTCTTTCTGGGAGCGTTGGGAAGCGGCTGCTTGCCAGTCGCCATGGCCGTCAAAGAATCAGTAGTTCAGCCTGCGTCGTGGTTGCGTCGCTGCAGAATCATTGAAACGAGTTTTCGCGACGGCGATGTTCAGCCATCCACGTGACTCCAAGAAGCAGATATGACGTATGTGGCGCAAATGTGGCGTACAGATATTCATTCGCATCTACAAGTAGGTCATATCCAAGGACATAGACATCACGATGTTCAGTACGACGGAGGGATTATAAAAATAAACCCGCGCGTCTTGTATCACGACAAGTTCATTCTCGTGTGACAGAAATTTCTGACGTATTCCCACTCGTCGCGGCCAGACTGTGCAAGCATTACAGAGTTCTAAGAATTTGCCGTATGGTTTGCCAGTGGAAGATACGAAGTGACATCGACCGTGTTCTAACAACCAGTCCTGTGTCATCTCCCGACTGATAATTGGGCAATCTATTTTGAGACTGGATGCGACGAGTGTGATCAGGGCTTGGTGCAGAAGGAACGCGGAGCCAGGGTTGCGAGGAAGGGGCGAAGGAGTACACAATGTGAGAGATAGAGCATAAAAAGTGGAGATAAATGATTAGGACAGAGAACAGTGGGATTCTCGGAGAAATTAGCGATATTTAGGGCAGAAGAGAAGACGGTGGTCTCGAGGGTGATGCGGAGGACGTTCCACTCTCCGATGAGCACCCAAGGGTTCAGACGAGGGCACGAGGGGAGGTAGTATGAGCGAACGCAGTTTTCAACAATGTGAATATTTCACTGCGACGTCTCGGTGAAGGAACGCTCTCGCCGCACGGTTGTACAGTGGACTGTAATGTTGCCTCCGTCGACAACGAACCTTCGCTGCATAATTTGTGAGCTAGCATGTTCGTCGAGACAATGGTCGTCGTTGTAACAGTTGACATTGGTCTGCCTGAAACTGAAACCCGTGGGAGTACTTACACAGTACTTTCTTGCATGGCAAGCGTGCCCGGCCTTGATATGTAACACGTTTTTAACATTCACGACGCGGAGTAAGGTGTAAGGACGGCAACAGCCGACTTGTAGTTTGTCATACACAGTGGAAAATACAGTATAGCAAAAATGCTTAAGCGGAGATGGTGACTTCAACCTCGACACCAGGCTCCAAGCTGATGGAAGTCTAATGAAGGAATGAGAGACCAATAATGCAACCAATGATGTCAAACTCACAATCTGCTTGACGACCTCGCTGGAGGAGTGCAAATCAATGAGGCGCTTGTGCACCTTGAGCTCGTAGCGGTCCCAGGTTTTCGAACCCTCACCACAAGGCTTACGAGCGCAGTGTCAAGGTAATGCAAGTATAATATAGATGTCAAACTTACTGTCTTACGGGTTGTGATCTTGAGGACCTTAGTGGGGAGGCGGACGGGGCCCTTGACACGGAGCTGTTTGTCCTTTGCACGGTTGATGAGATCGGCAGAGACTGTTGATAGTTGAGTGGGTATTTAGAGCAACGTGGAAGAATACTAACACTTCTCCAAGTTCTTGACGTTGCTACTCGTCAAGGTAATGCGGATTTTATGGATTTTGGCAGCGGGGACAGCGCCTGCTGCATCGTACTCCTTGTCCTTAGCGACGTAACTCATTCTGGGCTACTTTTTCTTCTGAATGAGTCAGATGGTGACTGGGGACAGAATATCAGCTCCTGAAAGCGAACCGCCGAGATATGCGCACCTAAGGTTTTTTGGTGGATGTGTGTTGATGAGCTCAAATTAAGGTTTCGTGATATGGTCGTTGTATCGGCAAAGTCCGAGAGTAGACTCTCACTCTACTGTGTAATTTAGCACTTGGTAGGGGTTATAGCGGGACATAGACATGGACTCGATACAACTACCCCATATACCAATCACTGTCTTCACTGGATTTCTCGGCGCAGGCAAGACCTCCGTCATCTTGTCACTCCTTCCGCTACTTCCAAAGGATTATAGAGTGGTTCTGCTCAAGAATGAGTTCGGAGACGTCGAAGGTGTGCATAATTTGCTGTAATGTGGGGGAGGGAATCTATAATACATTTCACAGTGGACAGCCAGTTGGCGAAGCAGTCCAGCTTGACTGCCGTCAGTGAGATTTTGAACGGCTGCATGTGTGTTCACACTTCCCCGTCGCACTGCACTTCTTAATCGACCGTGTCACGCATAGGTGCTGCGTGCTCGTAGGCCAAATGGAAACAGCCCTTCTCGAGATCCGAGGTACTTGCAGTCTGAAATAATTTATCCACACAATCACTCACATATATCAGACAAATACCGCCCTGACCGGATAATCATTGAATGCTCGTAAGTTCACTTAAACCCCACTAGCTCTTTACTCACTCGTCGTGGAGTCAGAGGATCCGCTTTTCCTGCCACACTGGCGTTCCAGATCCGTGAGCTCGAGCGACAGACAAACAATGACCTTCGACTTGACGCAATAGTTACCGTCATCGATGCTGAGAACTTCACGGGGTACGAAGATACTTCCCCCACAGCCAAGATGCAGGCAAGCTATTCGGATATCATCCTTATCGTACGTATTTTGTTCATGATAACGAGGCGATTTTATCAATGTGCCTAGAACAAGCACGAACTTGTCGACGAACGCGCCCTAGACGTACTGATCGATAATCTCAATACCCTGAATCTCGACACTCCCAAGATCAAATGTAATGGTCGTAACGGTGTTGACCCAAACGTTCTTTTTGGAATCGACTCCAAGCTCTCCAAGGATCCAGTTGCCCAAGGTAGCGAAGACCACCATGATGAAGTGAAGACACTCACGGCGTACCGGGGATTCCTACCGGCGTGCCACAACCATGAACATCACGATAGAGAAACTTGCATCTCGCATACGGAGGTGGATGTTGACAGGGGTATGCTTGAGAGTGCTCTCGCCTCTCTAAACAAGGAAAGCGTTTGGCGAGTCAAGGGATTTGTCCGCTTAGATTCTGCAATTTGGATCTTGAACTGGGCATTTGGTCGGTATGATCTCACGCTATCGAAGGGAGATGCATCTTTTATGCAAGATGCGTCCATAAGGCTCACCATCATGGGAGACAAATACGAGTTGAATCGCAAACCCATTCCAGTGGCGGTCAAGAAGTTTTGTGCCGATCTTCAGGCTCAAGTAGTATAGATTACGTATGTCTTACCATACGTGTCTACTAATAATTGAAATTTGAATATGTGCCGCCGAGAAGAGATAAGATTTGAGAACGTTGTCTTGAACAATTCTCATCGGACTACACATGCTTGGATCCAGGACAATGCCTGTTCATGAGCGATGATGTTCTCCTATGTATTTTCTACTGGTCAGTCAAGCAGAATCACACCGACTGTCCGACAAGGAATACTGACACCTCATAAATAGCATCCTCCTTGTTCTATCTTCAAGCTGTAAACAATGAAGATAAGGCCACGGAGAATTCACCTATCCATCCAAAACATATTGCATGGTCACCGCAGCCCTATCCGTCAGCACAAGAACAAAAATCATGCGACGTTTTAAAATCCTCACTGAGCGACGATAGATTTTACACCCCAGAAATGCTGCAGGTTCTCTCCAGCGACGACTTATATTGCATCCTCGGTGTCCCTAGGTCCCTAACAATTGACAAGGTAACCATCAGACGCGCCTATCTTTCTCGAAGCAGGGCTTGCCACCCAGAGTATGTTCCTCGTCACTTCTACTAGTAACGTCTCATTTTCATTTGCACTCAGCAAATTTCCCGGAAATCCTGACGCGACGTGTGCTTTCCAAAAAGTCTCCGTTGCATACGATGTCCTCAGCAATCCCTCCTCGAAACGCACTTACGACTCTCGTCCTGCACACTCATACCCCAAATATGACTTCTTTTCCCAGTCCTCTCCCCATGCAGACGAAACATTGAAGGGCGTCCTCTTGAGCGTATTCAGCGAATTTCTCGAAGGCGACTTTGAGATGATACGCACATTTCTCAGTAAGCACAGCCTGGTCCTGCGCGCGTGCGTATTACATGCTCATGTGTCTACCTTCAGGGGCTATCAGTGACCTGAACCCATCACTTGAGTTAGGTGATGACGGCATAAACTCTGTTCTTTCGGTCCTATTGAGTGTCCGCGAACGCATCTTAAGTAAATCACCTGCCATCTCATGTATAGCTGATCTTACATTGTCAACAAATAGCCTGCCGCACCTGTGTCGTTGCCCTCCACAGCGAGCTCACTCGCGCCCTCGAGATACAAAGCGCCTTCCGTCAGCTTTCTTACTTCGACATTGCTGGCCGATCCCGGCTCACTATCCAACTAACACGCATCACCATTTCCTTGCCTGTCACTCTCGAAAATGCCGTGCAGGCTCAGTACACCAACCCCGCCTCTACTCATCCTACGAACCACAACCGGGAAAAGGAAACGAATAAATTCGCGCTGCTGCCCCGTCGTGTCGTTCTTCTCATAAGGGGCATCGACGTGGTTCTGGACCGTATGGAACGGATTCTCGGATAGACTCTGCATTCTTTAAACACTATCGACTTTGATTTACTGTCAGTTATATCTGCGTGTTTCAGCTTGTTTCAGTATTGTATCCGAAGGACGACCCCCTCCCCGCTGATCTATGCATAGATTACTTCTATAGACAACCCTCCTGACATTCTGCCCCATGTATGTACTCATACCAGCACATTCACACATGTCATTATATTGAAATGATCAAATCAATCATCCTACATCGCATAACTGTACACTCGCACATATTACTGTCCAGACGTGAGCATAAACTAGGTGGATTTCGGACTTTACGAAAGGAAAAGAATAACGACGAGGAGCACGACGAAGAAAAGCACTGGTCAGAAACGCAAAATTCGAACAAAAAAACCATTTTTGGGCTCATAAAAAGGAATAAGAATCTCAAAATGAGAGCCTCGCAGGAACTGTCCTCAGCGCCAAAGAAGGTGCAAATGCTACGAAATGGCGAAGAAGAAGAACAATGACAACCAGCATACATGGATAAGTCGATTGGAGTCAACCTTGATGCGCATACGACATGGTCCTCTGACTCTGTGATGAAGAGTTCAGTAATAGCCAGTGAAAGACAATATTAACGACTGACGACATTCATCCACACCGGATTACCATGAGCGGGTACGATCTCTTCAAGCATGTATGAATCCGACGATTGTTGGCACCCGTATGTCCCATTTGGCTGCGCCGCTGCCGCCAACAGGTGACCATAACCCTGTGGGTCCTGGCCAGCGTCTCCGCTGGTAGTTCCAGCGTCGCTGTGAGGGCCAGAAACAGTACCGGGAGCAGCGCTCATCGGATTTTCGGGGTAGAATGGGTAGAATAGCCCAGTAGGCACCTCTGCAAGTTTCTCCTGCGGATTACCATTACCCATTGACCCCTGAAGTCCCTTGACTGAATTCGTGCTTACAGTAGCGCCACGTGGAAGCGGTCCGTACACGCCGGGCCCGACACCGCCATTTGAGTACGGTGCGTGTGACATCGTGGGCGTCCCGGGGTGCACGCGCAATTGCTGTTGGTTCAGTGCGGGCGACGAGAGCATCCCGGGTGAATCCGTCTCCCAGTCGAGCTCAGAAAGCAAGACAGGGTCTTTGGTGGGTCCAACTGTTCGGAGGTTGACGTTTAGGACCTTCTCCGCGAGCTTGGAGATAAGGGGGTGCCCCCCATTCAAGTCCTTTCGTTCCCAACGCCAACGGAAGCGGGGAAGCATGTCGAGAGCCATCCAAACGTCTTCGATCATCACCTGGCGTGAGAGGCGCTCGCAGTGAGACATGTGACCATAGAGGATGACCATTGCTGCGATATGGAGAGGAATTGGAGAAACGAAGAAGGCGATATCAGGGAAGCGAATGAGCTGATTGTGGACAATGATGATGTTGTGCGACGTGACAATGGCTTTAATATTGTGTAAATCATCAGAAAATGGCAAACAGCACAGGATGAAAACGTACCATCGACGAGTGCCTTCGAACGATGGTTGTAGTCGAGCTCCTTGAGACTGAACAAGGCACGAAGAAGTAAAATCCTTGATATGCCAAATTTGAGCAGCGTCAGTCCCTGATCTTCTGTGATATCCTGGACCAGCTTCTGTCGCCTCTCCAAAGGCCAGTCTTCGGTTCCTCCAAAGTACCATTTGTAGCTGTCGGGAAGCTGTCTCCTGAACTCAAGCATGCTCTTAATAATTCTCGACGCGTGCCGCATGATGGTGTCAGCACTCTGCCTTGAGGGAGCATAGAGGGAGTTGATGATGTCAGCCTGTATTTCGGCGATGGGGTGAGATAGAAGGAAGTGCTCAGAGAAATCAGCATTCTGGCCCTTGAGTCCGTGTGTGGGGCGAGGCGTATTGGAGTCATAGGGAGCAATGGCAAGCGGACGTCCGAGAAGAATGGAAGTGCCTCGGTCATGCACCATTACGATGCCCCAGAGCCGGATGCGTAGCTGACACTCTTCATCTGTGAAAGTGTTGGGCTGCGCCGTGGGGTCATGATGCAGACCAAGTTCGATTGAAAGTCGAACAAGACTCCCAACCAAGCGCCAAAGGGAACGGCCTTGTCGCTGATAATGATATCAATATTAGCACCCGTCAGAGAGAGTTAAGATGGGCACACCTCAGTATATAGATACCACTGCAACAAGATCAGTGCCTGAAGACTGGATATCGTGACACGCAGGTGAGGTTTGACAGCCAGCGCACGCTCAAAGAACTCATCGTGCTCAGGCCATACAGCAGGTAGCAGCTTCTTGGTATTGATCGGACTATCGCTGGGCGTCTTTTTGTCCTTATCCATGATACTCCCTTGGTGATTCAACTCGCTCAACGTCCCGAGTGCCAGAATGAGGTACATGCAGCAGATAAAGCCTGGATCATGTTGGACATTCTCCCCGTCGTAGAGTGCGTTTAACTTGTGGTCGAAGTCTGACCGGAAGAAAACAGGGCGATGGACATTAAGGTGATTGAAGTAAACATCAACGATCTTGTTCGCCAACGCGCGATCCTTGGGCATCCATAACGTCAACGTGGAGGTAGATATCGCAGAAGGGCCGCCAGCATTGCTGGTTGTCACAGAGATGGAGATCCATTTTGCAAGATCACGGGGCACCGACTGTTCCGTGATGCCGCGATCACGCCCCGATGATAAGCCATTTGAGCCCACGGCAAGATCTTCCTTGTCACCAGAACCCAGGTGACTGTCGTTCACGATCAGAGGGTGAACGCCGAAGCTCTTGGCCAGCGCCTATCATTGAAATAAATAATCAGTGCACGAACCTCGCACAAGAAGAAGAAAAGACCGACCCTCGTAGTTGACATATCCAAAGCCTGCGGATCTTGGCCTTTAACTTCAATATTGGCTGTGGCAGCTGTGACTGGGGGCGGTACCGAATGCGGCTGCTGCTGAGGCTGTTGTTGTACCTGGGGAGGGGGTTGCATATGCTGCGGAGGGGGGAAACCAGGATGAATAGGTCCGTAAGCGCCAGGAGGTCCTGGCATCGGCATATGAGATGGGTAGCCATGCGGCATAGGCACCCCGTAGGGGTATCCAGGGTGAACGAAAGGAGGCCCGTAAATCGCACCGGGAGGAGGGCCACTTGGTTGCGGTGGGAAAGGTGGACTCTGAGTGAAGTCAGGGCCCGGGTGACCGTCGACCTCGATGCCCTCCCTACGACATATCTCGTCGAGGTTGGCAATATTGAAATCAGGGATATGACGTTTCAAGAGAGCATCGCATTGAGCGATCTGGCGCTCGATAAACTCGGTGTGACCTCTGAGAGTGAGGGTCTGCCTATGTCTGTCCTCCTGCTGGCAAGGGACACTAGCAGTCGCGCACGCCGTACATTTCGGATGTTTCGAGTCGCACTGTATGATTCATCGCTATGTCAGAAGAGAAGCTGGACAGGCGGACGGAGATTTGCGGTCGGTGTCTACCGACGGGACTTGCCTTAATTTTCTTGCTCCTGCATCGTGCGCAAGCCTCATGGGAGCGTCTGAGTCGTCTTGGTTCAGACGGTGAGCCAGCGTCATCAGAGTTTGCGTCCGCCTTTCGTCCTCTCTTCTTGGAGGTCGTCGGCGCTTGTTGCTGATGGGGTTGATTAGGCTGTTGAAGCTGCTGCTGCTGTTGATTTGGGTCCATATGGAGGGCTGAATGAAGAGACGATGGTACAAGATTGAGGTCAGTGTGCGGAGGCAGGATGTGAGTCATCTTGCTCGCTGTGCTGGACGATGAGCAGGGCCTGTGACACCTGTCGTTCGTTGTTCAGCACGAGCTCAGCGCGCTAAGTACTTGGCTAATCATCCTCCGTGCTTTGTGGAAAATGCCGTAATATTCACACGGAGTTATGCTATACCATATTAATAATTAATAATTTCATAATTTATTCTTCATGTGCATGCTCTCATCGTCGGGAACCATGCCCTCACGAACACCTTCATCGCTCAGAGACATGCACCACCAAAATGCATCAGCCTACACCCTTGACACCGTTCATCATGATGACCCTGAAATTATGGAGTTTGCAGACGATAGAGCTCCTCTCATTGCACCAGATTCCGATGCTGGCTCAATTTATGGAGCCACTCCTGCACATTCGCAGGCACCTCGTACATCTTCCCCGAGATTATTACTCAAGGCTGCCATCAGGATGGCTACTGTGTTTGTACTGAGTTCGATCCTCCTGGGTGGAACTCTTTGGCTGACCCTTCCCACCCTTGACGAGTATGTCCCTCGAACTTCCTTATTGTTTAGCATATCTTATCGAATAGCAGAGCCGACCGACCGTCACTCCGTATACCGAAATCATTTGCTCAACTGCAGGCTCTCAATGCCATTTTGAAAAAATACCGTGACATCTACCCGTTCCGTATCGTAATATGTTATGCCATCACATATTTATTGTGAGGTCCGCTCTCTCTATGAAGTCGACGATCTGACATTTCCCCTAGCCTACAAGCATTTTCTCTTCCTGGGTCGATGTATCTATCTATACTCGGCGGAGCGGTATGGGGTGTGCCGCGCGCGCTTCCACTTGCTTGTACATGTGTTGCTACTGGTGCAACTTTGTGTTACCTCATCAGCGCTGCATTTGGCCCTGCACTCCTTACCGTACCAAAGTGGAAAGCCCGTCTGGACAAGTGGTCAGACAAGATACGCACACAGAAAGACAACGTTATATCATTCCTAATCGTCCTTCGCATTGCTCCCCTCCCTCCGCACTGGGTTGTCAACGTAATTTGCCCCCACATCGGCATTGGAATTGTACCATTCTGGATCAGTACATGGCTCGGTATCTTCGGCGTAACTGTCATACACACTACGATTGGAGGTGGTCTAGACGAGATGACATCTGCTGCGGATTTCCATCTCATTTCGTGGCGCAATTTCTTCCTATTATCCGCAGTGTTGGTAGGCGTCCTCATACCTGTGGGTTTACGCTACTATTTCAAGCGCGAGATTGCTTCCGTGGCCGACGTGGAGCAAGGAGGGTTGGAGGAAGAGTTTTTTAACCAGAGCGAGGATCACATCCTGGCGGTGGGTCCAAGAGCTCAAGTCAAGAAAACGAGAGCAGCGCCGTTGGTTGAACTCTCCGATGAGGAGACCGATACATACTCTGAAGACGAAGACGACGATGTTATTCTAGAAGCAGGGCCAGCAATCGTTATCAAGGCTCCCGAGGAGCCCGCGCAACAAGGTGATGGCAGTAGATATATTGACCTCCTATAGCATGATACTCAGTCTCGTCGTGTGTATTGGTACTTATACTGTTTTCTCCACATGCAATCAGCTAATCACATTGCTAGTTCTATATTTAGATTGTATCTGGACATTGTACAAGTAATACATATACATATGCCATTATCTGCTTACCAGCCACGTCTAGATCCCATGTGAGGCCCAACGTTTTGAAGGGTTTTGACCAATCTGTCGCGGCCAGCCGCTTGCCATGCACCATTGTACTATATCACCACCAGTTCCTCATACGAGCTTCTGATGTCAAGGCAAGGTGCGTCTTATCTTGATGACCCTGTCAACTCATTAAACTCAATGTTGTTTCTCAAGAATAAAAGAAGCATACCCTCACTAAGCTCACCTGGCGTCGTCATGCTCACCTGGAGTCCATCACCTTATGGATGAATGCTGCAATCCAGCTGCTTGTCGTACGTCCCGCGGGACCGAATCTGGCCTAAGATATACAATATCGAGAAATACACGGTCAGGTCAACAAGCGGAAGGAACTTGCTCGATCGTGTCATTGCATAGACGTGGTGCCAGGAACTCACAAACTAGAAGCTTGCAAACCTCGCTGCCTATGTCCCCCGCTACCTGACAAGGTATATCTTGACCCTGCTATGCTAATTTTGCCAGAACACTGGGATGAAATCGATAATGAAGATCGTGATGCCAGATGTACATTCATGCGATTAACCCGCACCATACTGCGTTGGCGCAGGCGGATAGCCCTTGTGAAGGTATTGTGCACACAACTTAAGTTTAATCTTGGGACATGGTTGGCACACGACTAGGAGGGTATCGCCCTCCTGCATTGCGAGGCTGAAAAAAAATTCTAATTCGTTTAGCGATTGAAACGGCTGATGGGCGTTGCAGGACTCATACCCCTGTACTGTTTCCCTGAGACAGCATGACAGAAATACGGCACAACAGGAACTCGCTCAAAACTTGCCCCTTCTCGCTCTAGCGACAGATGCTACGTAGAACTTAAAGTATTATTCGGTGAAGACTATCACGGACGTGCTGCATCAGATAACACACCCGCACAAACCTCCGCATCCAGTCGCAGAGGTACCGTATTCGGAATCGGGACTCCCTTTCCACGGGATACCCCCAGGCACTCGTGCAGCAAAAGCTCGGGCGCCTGAGCGCCTCATTGCAGGGACTGAAATAACAAGTTATTTCGGAACTTACGATTTGTCCAGGCATCTAGAGTAAACGCCGGGAGCGTTCTCCATGGTCGTCGGGTTTTTGCACCGATATGGTCAAGTTCGAGACGTTGCAATGCATAGCCAGGGCCTGGCAGTTGGATGGCACGGTGCCAACAGGCCAATCCGACCGAAAAATGCAGACAAACCCTGAGGTTGATACGATATTCAATGCAGCTAAATATCCAATTGAAAGTGATTCTCGAACCGAAGCAACTTATGCAGGCACGAGGACCAAGACAGACTGCTCTCGACAGGAATCCGTGCGTGGAAAGGGGAAACAGCCATGATAATTAAAAAATTAGTTGCAGACCACAAAGGGTCAAGCATTTCTGTTCCTGATTTTACATATTTTGACCATATGTGGTAGAAGGAAATAGGATTATTCTCGCGAGTTTCCGAGGTATGTGAGGTTGCCTTGGCTGCCTTGAGGTTTCAAGATGGGCATTTACTCCACACACGTTGAGTTGGAAGCCAGGCTAAAGCTCGACGACGTGGGTTGCGATTGGGCTTGGGTGCATTGAACTTGAAGGTTAGTCTTATAATTATTGAGGTTCGGTAAAAGCCGTTGGGACCAGTTCTCGCGGAGTGGAATTAAATGGAGAATTAATCAGAATTAATCATCAAAATAATTGTATCACTCGCTAGCGTTAAGTCAACCATGACGAGTAGGATTTCGCGGATTTGAATCGGAGAAAATGGGGGAAGAAATGAATATTTTTGAGACAATGTGGCAATTGAAAATACGAATTTGAATGATAAAAATTAATAAAGATTTAAAGTCCGACGCCACGAGCTGAGCACAGGCCAACCGAGCATTCGCTTCATGGTGTGAAGCGCCGTCTGCTTCCCACTGTGACTGCCAGCATCTCCCCAGCTGCACGCTACCCCAAACAGCGTCCACTGCGTTCTTAACGGTGTCCTCGTCGTAGGCGCTACCGCCAACGACGTTCCAGAACATACCGTGCTCGCCGTCACTGTCGTAGAGCTCACATTACCATCCATCTCGGTGCAAGCCTACGACTTTGCATTATGGCCGATCGCATGCCCCCGTACCAAATGAATCCCCAGAACATGATGCAAAACTTCATTGCCCAGCAACAGATGCAACAGCAGTCTCAACAGCAACAGCAACAGCAGCAGCAGCAGCAACAGCAACAGCAACATCAACAGCAACAGCAGCAGCAACAAGACTCTCAGATGGTTCCCGGGCTCCCTAACCCCGAACATAGTCGCATATGGAATCAAATCCAGAACAACTACAGAGTTCAGCAAAATGGTGACGCAAATTCCGCTCAGATGACCCCACAGGCAAGTTTTTCCTATAATCATCCAAGGTTACGTTCTCCCCCTTCTGCGTCATCTGCGTTCGCTCACAGGACCCACACCCCGCCCATGTTACTGATGGTCGGTTTGGGCACTGTTATCGACCCCCGTATCTATTATCTTTCACATCACTATCCTGAGATTCATGCTTCCCAAGTCCAGTCAAGTCGATGCCTTGTTCTGGTCCAATTTTCGTAATTACGTGTGCTGACTCCCTTATATTAGATGGCAGATCTCGTTCGAAACCAGGGGCTCGGTCATGTCCACTCTTCACATGCTCCCTTGGTCCAACATATTCAGCAACAATTCGGTCTTTCATCCGCACAGCGTGTCCCCCCCCCTGCCTCGTCTTTCCATGACCCTCAGTCCTCTAACCCTACATCTTCTATCATCCCACCCAACTTTTCCTCTATGTCTATGAATACCCCACCAATGAAGGGAGGGAATCCGATCCAGGCTCTGGCTAGCCGTCCGCTTCACCTCATGGATCGTCCTTCCAATCAACAAAACCAGCATCAGCCTCAGTCTGCAATGGCACTCGTTCGTATGCAGCAGCAGCAGATGGGCTCGCAGCCAGGCCCTAGTCAGCCGAATTCCTCGGACATGTTTTCATCCTCAAATATGACTAATGTTGATGCAATGCATGGTTCTCCGCATCTGGCGGCACAACCTCTTGGGCCCCAGATGGGCCATCCAAACATTAGGGCACCGGCTCAGAAGGTGCCTACTCTCCCAGAGCTGATGCAAAGGAGGGATTATTTGCAAGCTGGAATTAGTAGCATTGAGCAAAATATCCAAACCATACTCGATCATACGAGAGGTTTCCCCGACGAAGCATGGTCCGCAAAGTTGGAAAAGATGCGCGCGGAGCTCCAGAGTCGCAAGACTCTCTTCCTCAGAGTGAACCAGGCCATCCAAATGACTAATTCCGGTGGCATGCTTGGAGGAAATCTAGCACATGTGTAAGTCACGTCGGCGTATCATTGAAGCTCCCTATTTACGCATCGTAGAAATACAATGCCCTCTCCTGCTGGTCGACCAGGTGTTACGCAGGGCGGCGGAGCACCCCAACAACCCTGGCCACAGTCGTCCAGTCCCACTCCAAATTTTGGAATGAACCCTGGAGGTAGCGGGCCTTCGCAGATTTCAGCGCCGGGTCAGGCCCATCCCATGAATCCTCAACTCTCTGGACAGGGTGGTCAGATGCAACGCCCAGGTGCTGTACCCACACGCTCTGGCTCTACTCCACAGCAGCTTGCCTCCGGGCATGCCCAATATGATAGTCACAGAATATGGGTCCTCAATTCAATCCTCACACCGTTGCTAATGGTCAGATCCCGAATAGAATGTTGTCGACAATCGGGGTCTCCCATCTTGACAAGCCTCGCTTTGAGGCTATGTACACGTCCTTTTGCAAGAACAATCACGCGGATCCCAACTTGCACGTTCTGTTATCTGAAAACCGTTCAGTTGAATTGCATAGCCTGCATGTTCAGGTCTTTCGCGAAGGCGGCGCTCATTCAGGTAAGATGACGACAATTTGCAATGCTCGAAGCATTCTCACTAGTCACTTTTAGGTAACTCAACGCGATTTATGGGCGGTCATAGGCGGTCGCATGGGTCTTGTACAGTTCCCAGGCACGGATACTGAGCCAGCTAAGAGTGGCCCCGGTATCGCACAGCAGCTTGCTCTCGCATACAAAGAGCACCTGCAGGCATTCGAGACTGTGATCGTCGTCTCAATGAGATCTCGCGCTGCACAAAGAAACGGCTTGTCACAGAACAGCGCTCAGAACGGCACTCCTGGAAGTGCCTCAGGTGTAGCCGTGGAGATGCCACACGCTGTTGTGCGCGGTCCTCTCAATCCGCAAGCCATGGCGCATGCTGCGCGTTTCGTCAATATGTCTGTTGCTGATATGCGCGCCAATGGCTTGCCAGAGCAGACGATTATAGCCATCGACCGGCATCGTCCGGAGATTCAACGTTGGCAGCAGAGTCGGTTGATAGCAGCGAAGGTCAATCAGCAAATGACCAATCATGAGGCGCCCGGTGAGCAACCGGGTATGCCCAGCACACATCAAGGAAATTTCCCGAACCAGGTGCCAACCGCCGGTCCCAGCCTGGTTTCTGTACCGCGGGGACAGCCATCCATGATGCGCAATGGGATGCAACTACCGATGACTGAGATGAAGCCTGCCATTCAGGCAGGACCCATCCTACCACCGACTCAGGAGCAGATCGGACACGCAATGGCCGTAATCCAAAACACGAAACACCTTTTCTCATCCCGTGGTTCGTCATGTCCATATTCTTATCGCAGATTCTAATCCTCTGTGCAGGACTGCAGACAATGCAACCGGTCTCAATACCAGAGGAACAGCGAATGGAGTACAATCAGCTACTAGATCAAGTTCACAAGATGACTCGGGACCTTGATGGGAGACTACCAATGTACTGGGTTGTTCTAAGATCGGATGATTTGATTCGCAGGCTCGTTGCAATTGTAAGCTCTTCTTGTGCGTGTCTGCATTTCGTTGTGTTGAGTACATTTTCTTTCCAGGTATTGACGGTGGAACATCAAAGGACCCGTTATTCGACGGGGCCACCCCAATTCTTAATCGGTTTTCACACTCTAAAGAGCATGTATAACCAAGTACAAAAGGCTAACGAGGAGTTTGAACAAAGGTGTCAATTAATGAAAGCCGCCGTCGCATCGCAACAAATGGGTGGACTTACTGGTTCTCACATAAATCGACCGCCCCCCGCTCCCAATGTTTCTCAGCCTACGCCCCCCCAAATTCTTCAGCCTCCCCCAGCTGGGCCCCCCATGAGCCGCCATCCCTCCGCAAACCAGTCACACCCACCTCCGCATCCCCCGCCGCCCCAACCTCTGATCAAGAAACCTCCTGTTCGCGTGCCCCCAAGTCCCTCTGACCCTGCCGCCACAACGAACGCGGTGCCGTCACCTACCCCACCACCTGCAACTACTGCTTCCACTGCTCCTACTCCTCTCCCTCTTACTGCCGCTTCCCCACAAACCCCAAAGTCTCCCAAGTCCAAACCCCCACCCAAGACGAAGGTTAGCCAGCGCCCTCCTAAGCCACCTACTATATCTCCCTCCGAACCTCCACCTGTATTTACTCCTGGCGTGAAACGCCAAGCCGACGAGGATGTTTCTACACTCTCCGCTGCGGGTCCCTCTACACAGCCTGACTCTATTGGCGCACCGTCTCCCAAGAAGGTGAAGACTGAAGATTGGGAGGGAGAACCTAGCGAGGGACTAGTGAAGAGGCACCAGGAGGTTGATAGTATCAAAACGGAAGAGGACGCAAATGCTTTCATGGATAAGATGAAGGAACTTGTCGCCATGACTGCCTCAACAGATGCCGGCGTGTTCGACGACATTGCTCACACTCTCGACCGGATTTTGCAAGGCGCAGCTCAAGATCCCACACATATTGCGACCTCTGCCTTCGCTTCAAGCATTGGTGGACCACTTTCGGAACTCTCACCTCCAGCAGGGCCCCCTAACGATGCATTCTCGGAGTTCCACGAGTTTATCGATTACAGTATCTTTACTACTCTCGAAGACGAGGAAGAATCGAAAGCCCCCACCCCCGACCTTGTACCATCATCATCCACGAACCCTAGCCCACAGTCCAATCCGGATGCTGATCAGTCACAGGGCGCATCTTCCCCAGACAAAACCAAGATCGAGGAGCCCAGGGAAAGCAACCACCTCGATCTCCTTCATATGGGGGCATTCAAGGAGATTGACGGCGGCGAGTCCGCCTACTACCAGTCTTCTGATTGGAAGTGGGAGGGTCCCATGACCACGCTTGACCAACCATGGGCAATTTACCAGACTTCATGATAGGAATTATAGGGCGGAATCCTGGTTTGTTTTACTGTCTATTTATGAATCGTCTTCTCTTTGTTCTTCATTTTATATGCTGGATATACTCGTCCGTGATGCCCTCCGTTACACTGATCAGACTTGTCAACTCTACGTCCTGTCATCCATACTACTAGTATCTTGGTTTCGTGTCTCACCTCTGTATTTTTTAATGTTGTTCTGATTTGCTATCGTATCTTGCTCAGAAATCATCGAAGCGTAGGAATTAATGAGCTGCTGATTTAGACAGCAGCAGTATAATGAAGTTTGCGTGAACGTCTAGTGTACAATGAAGTGTCGTATCTACTTGAGAAGTACTCCTCGATCAGGAGGTTTCACTCTGTTCGCAAGGGTACTTGACCGCCGAGTATTGTCAAGGATGCGAGCCTTCAGAGAAGATACGGCGTCTGATGTCGACCTAGCTTGGGAACCAGACGAGAATGGTATCGATAGGCGAGGTCTCTTACTATTTCTCTCTGCTTCATATTCCATTCTAGCCCTCGCCCACTGGTCCCGTGCATGCTGCTTGGCCTCCGCATCATCTTCAACAAGATTCAACTCCTCCGGTAAGCCATATTTGCCTTTGAGCGTATCATCCTCAGCGCGCTTCTGTGCCTCAATCTTCTTCTCTGCACGAAAACGCTTGCGCACCATTGATGATAGTGCGTAAGGATCGTGATTGTAGCGATCCGAAACACCCTGCAAGGCCTCAAGCCGTGGGATCTGCACCTTGGCGACGTAGTTTTGGGCATCGGTGGTCTTCTCGAACGCCGCAAGTGGATCCGCGGGGTCAGCTTTCCCTTCGGTATCTGTAACCTTTGTGAGATGACGATCGGAGTAAATGCAAATCGCTACATACCGTGAATAGCAAACCCGCCGTTGTCCTCTGGATCCCAATCTTCATCCTTCTGACGGGCGCCTGAGACCACTACGTAGCGAGTATTCTGTGCGATATTAATGTGAAAGGCCAACAACTAAGGCACTGCGTGCAGCTGACCTTCGGATCGGTCTGAATTTCAAACCAGCCGTCGCAGAGATGGCATTTGCAGCGGAACGAGTATATTGGAGTGGAATAGTATGCGCCGACTTTCTTCTTCTCCGCATTATACCGGACGCCCATGCCAATATGATTGTTGCATGTTCCACTACAAAACTGTTCAATCACTACTTCTGGATGCTATGATGATGCATACCACCAGATATTGAAGGGAAGCTCAAAACGGGTTATGAGTATGCCCTTGTCGAGTTTACGCGCTCTGTCACCGAGCGCATGTTTGCCTGCAGGCACATGAGAGACAACACATGATGAATTGGTTGTACATACCTCTGTACGCATTTAAGCTCTTGTGTTTATCAGGCTCGTAATCTGGCGGATAATACTTGTTAAATCCTAAGGAAGGTGAGTTGACGATCTATGAGTTCAACTGACACTTGCCTTGCATGACTGTTCTTGGACCCGATAAGGGTACAGCCAAGAGGCGTGCAATGGAGAATTCCGAATCACCCCTACTTGCTTACGGTAAGCAAAACCTTATTTTCAGCCACTTTGGCATGTCATTTGAATTTATGTGTAGCTGTCAGTTTTCGCAGTAGAAAGAAATCAGATATATTGATACTCCAATGTCATCTAATTTGTACAAATAGTATCAAAAGGTATTGTGAAGCTATTTTGGCTCAAATTGAAAGGATTTGTGACCTGAAACATTGTTTCAAACTTGTGGAGAAAGTGCAGGATGAGCCATGATTCCTGAATAGAAGGAGCCCTGTGATGCATCAGGCACAGCATGGACTCCTGCTTCAAAGGAGAAGGGCAAAGTGAAGAGACCCACCTTGTCAACACATTGAAGGCATAGTGTACCTGGTAAAAGGATCCTAGACTGGTGACCAGCCCATCTAATGAGGCAAGCTGTTGATAGATGGACTGGTAAATCTGGGTTTGAATTTGGATAGTGCGTGCCTTGGAGTAGTAATGTGACTGACAAGCCCTTTTTGGGAGTTAGATGAGTCTTTGCTAAGTTCTTGATCAAACATGTCATCCAGGTAGCATTGCTCATCGACTCTGGCAGTGATCAGCTCTCATTCCACTGGCCACTGCAGGGCAGCACCACATCTTGGACAGCCCTATTTATGATTTGAATTCAAACTTCAGCTTCTTCTGAGATAGTACTGGTCCTAAGCACTGTTCTCAAGGACTCAGATGGCCCAGGGATGGATGGGGACTGTCATATACCTGATCCGACCGCTCCGATACTGATATCCGCTCCACTTTCCGACCCCTCCGCTCCATCCATCCTCTGCTCCGTCCAATCACAAGTCCACATTCCGCCCTATGCTTCTGCTCAACCGCTCAACTGGTCCCCTTCCATAACCTCTCCATTCAACTGAATCTCTTTCCCCTTTTAGATATATACCTTCCCCATTGGTACATAGACCCTTACTTCCGGATGACCGGTAATTCCTATTACCACTCGATCACTGATCCGACGCGTACATATTGATATCCGCCCCAACTTATGTCTTCACCTATGTAAAATACTTACAAACTATATCCTTGGTACATAGCTTTACTACATAGTTATCCTGATCACTGCCTCATACATAGTAGTATATAACATATCATGTACTTAGATATTTTTCCTCAGTCTTAATATTACTTGTCTTCTCACAGTTATATCTTGTGAGAATTCTCAGTAGGACCTTGCCTCCTCTAGACACAAGTCTCAACTTGTTGTCACCTCCAACCCTCCGCTCTGACTTAGAGCTGTGCTCTAAGTCTTCCCCTTACACTCCACCCCTATCAAATATTCTCCCTTGTCCCTCCTATATTATCCTCTGCCTTCCCTGCCCCTACCAACATTCCCCTGCTCCTATCCACTCTCCAGCATCACTCCCCGCCTTCTCCGCTCCGCTCCTAGTCAGCCCACCACTAGTAGCTCTTATTCCCCGACCCTCAAAGTGGACCCAAGTGGTCCATTCGTCCTACCATCGGACAACGTCGGACCTGCTCCAAATTCGGGGCATGTACCCGGCTAAGGGCGCAGCGCAAGAGCTGAAGCCAAGCCCTGACCCCTCTGCTTCCTGAGTTGTCACAGTACCTAACAGGGACCTCTTGATGCTCATTGACACTGATGTCTGTCATATCCCGCATTTCCGGACCCGGAACTCTGGATCTTCACCCTTAGACCCAGACTTCCATCCTGATTTCCGTCTGGTGCTCTGGTTTCATCTCTGGGTCTAAACCTAACCTTACACCTATCTCCTTTTAGACCTCCTTTTCTCCAGTTACCGGTTATACACTTTTCTGCCTTGCTTACTGATCTGTTTTCTGCATTCATTTCTGACTCCATTTCCTTAATCCACTAAAGACTTACTAATAGACTTTCCATATGTTTCATACATACCCTTTTACCATGCTGACTGATTACTTACTCAATACCTACAGTATATAAACTCCTGTAACACTCTGTAACACTTGTCAAAAGCTGAGCGCACGGACTTAGTACCTAGCTACCAATATCTGTATGCATCATCAGCATCACTCACTCATTCTTAGTTATTCTTTGTGTTTCTTTTATTACTACTTTACCCAAGTCTCTCCTTACCTATATAAGCTAGTTTACATAGTGCTGGAGGGACAGTTGATCCTTTCCCTCTCCGAGTAACAATGGTTTAGTTCTGACAGTTCTTTCTGTGCTATGCCTGAGTTTACTCTACAAAGTCAACTTCTCGAGTGTGAACATTTATCTAAACGCCACATATTTTGAACTAGAATACTAAACTACCCATCTTCACCCTTCTATGGCCATCACTGAAGAGGATTGATCACCCTCTGACTCGTCGACCCCTCTCAAAACTACACATCTCTCAACCCACCCCCTTTTTGATATTGATACTAGAAAAATGCCTACACGCACAGCAGGCAACCAGTCTCCTCATGCCTCGACGTTAACGAGTGCAGGAGCTGACGACGCCGGTGCCCTTGAACTTGGAGTTCAAAGCACCTGGACCCATGATGACAATGAAGTCTCTGGAGTAGATAGGAGTGAAAGCATAAATGACAAGCCTCCCACTAGCCAACAGAGCGACCTCAGTGTTGCCTGGCCATGGCTACCCAGTACCCCGTTAACCAGTAACGAGGGGAACAAACAAAATTTGCCACTTAAAGCAGTTGATGACGAGAACTTGACTATCATGAGTCTGAGTCCCTTACTCAACAGCCTAGGTGAGCGCGACCTCTCTCCCATTAGATATCATGTTGTATCACCAGATGAGAACGTATATCATTCTGCACTGTTCGTGCCCGAACCAGAATACTCAGAACAATTTCCCAAACTAATGAGTGTCTTTGATTGGTCGGACATGCCTGACAATGGAGATATCGGAGATGTACCTGAATTCCCCATACTAGACCCTATTAAGAAATCTCCGACAGCTGGATCCTCCCCGAGAATTCCCACTGAAGCAAAAGGGAAATTAGTAGACCCCCTTGAAAGGAATGGACTAGATCCTCAGAATGCCCATCACGACTGGTTGGACCAATGGACGGAATTCGATGAAGGCATGGCTGACCTTGGCCGCCCAGGGACGGACGACCCAGACAAGTCCCTAAGATACATATGGAATGACGATAACCGTTGCTTATCGATCCAAATGCAAAACATATACCTGAGAAGATATTGTGATCAAGTAAAAACTAGACTCACTGAACAGACTGAACTTATGAATGAACTTCAGGATAGAGTCCAAGAGCTCTAGAAACTCATAATCCAAAGCCAGACCTGAGAAGAGGAAGTGCAAAAGCAACTCCTTGAAAGTCACAGAGCTGTGACCACTAGTATCCAAGGCCCCGCGAATCAAACAACTAGCTCCTGAGCTCCAATGGCCCCGACCAAGGCCAAAGGAGGCTCTGATCAACCTGACGTGGGCAGCTCTTGCTACCAAAGAGCATCCTCTGTCCTTCCCTCAAACAGTTCCGTCAAATGCGCTATGGGAGGACCACCAAGAAACGATCCAGAACCCAGCGATTCCGACCCATCTTCAATGGATAACGATGAAGATGAAGTGTCGTCCACAGAATCCAATTCTCGCACTGATCCCCCTGTGTGCCACAGTCAGAAGCACTCCCGTGACCATCGTTCAAAGTCCATTATCCCTGGTCCAGTTGACAGCGATCCTGAATCCAATGGTCCTGGGCAACTGAACAACTTCAGTATGGACTTCCTAGCTTTAGAGCCTGAATCCGACCATGATAGCGACACCCCTGAGACGAAGCGCTCAAAATGAGTGGCAAGACGCAAATACCGCACTAAGTTAAATTTACTTAAGTATCAGCAGAGCTTCATAAAGAACGAACCACCATTTACGTACCATGGTGAAGCTAATGCAACCACTTTCAAAAAATGGGTTAGAGAAGTCAGGGACTGGAAAGAATGAGCACGACTCACCACGAACCAGTCATTACGCATATTGGGGAAGTACCTCGGTGGGCAAGCCTATAGATTCTTTGAGAGAGACATCCTAGACCTTCAAAAAAGATACTTGATGACTGAATTCTTCGAACAACTATTCAATTATGTCTTCCCACCTGGTTTCTGCATGCAGCAGTGACAGAAATTCCTAGAGTGTTGACAAGATGGGAAACAGACCGTTCAAGACTATCTTCGACGACTCCGAGACCTTGCGGATACCGCTGGCAATGTCGACGAATGTGAGATGGTCTGACAATTCTGGACCAATTGTAAGCCTTACCTCAAGGCCTCCCTAGTGGATAAGGGCCACAAACCAAATACCGTCACTCTCGATGTCATCGAGAAGAAGGCGCTATGTACTGAACACACGTTCTTGGAAAATGCTAAAGACCCTAACATCCTCCTGGCCATTAACCCGACTCTTGCCACCAGCTTCGCAAGTCACTATGCATGCAACAACCACAATGACTGATGTGACGTACATAACCGAAAGTTTGACCAGAGACCTCGTACCCAATCTATTGCTGCAAACACCGTTACTCCCCCTATACCTGACAGGAGGAATCATGGGAAGACTAACCTTAGAAATGACGCCCCTACTAGGAGGAGTAGACCCCAAAACGATGCCCCTAAAAAGGACCCAGATCAGTTGAGGTGTCTACGTGATAACAACCAATGCTTTGAGTGTGAACAGATGGGACATCTTGCCAAAGACTGCCCCAGGAGGCACAGACTACCTTTCAAACCTACCTTGAAGGTATCATCCCTAAGTGCAAACACTGTAGGCGTGACTGATACTGATATCCGGAACACTGCTATAGAAGAAGGAGTGGCCTACGGTCTATATGGAATGGCTGTTAGCCATGGAGACACAAATGACCTGGAATCTGCTAAGCGACTTGTGGCAGTTGAATGTACCTTGGCAATCCTACATATGGCTGTCCCTCTCCCCACTGACAAGCTCCATGATCCAATCTTTGATCCTTATGGGCCCTACAGGTTCAGCCTAGCAACACACGGTGGACCCAACACCTACCTTTTGTCCAATAAGCACAACTATGATGACTACATCATCTACTGGGAGCAGATCTGTGACCCATTGTTTGATGTAGTCTCCTGGCTGATTGACCTGAAACTACATAATTACGCAGATCTTGTTCGAATGAAGGCGTCATTTCAACCCTCCTGGGGAGCCCAACCCTCATTAACTGAGAATAGCCCCAGTACTATTGACAGTAATCCCAGTGAGTGCAGTGAACTCCCCGTGCTTGTCGATTGTGGGACCCTGTGCGATACCCCCAGTAGAGTTATTAGTGAATTGTTCTGCACAGGTAACTCTAGTAAGAATGCGAACTTACCTGACATCCGTGCCCTAGAATGACAGTCCACCTGACCTAAGTCTTCAACCAGAATCCTCCCGTGTTCGATCATGGTCATAGTCTTAATTACAGCCGACCGTGTCGGGCCCTACTCGACTCAGGCTCACTGACCGACTTTGTCTCATCTACCATCGTAGATCAGTTGAAACTTGATTATGAGCTTCTAGATAAACCAATACCTTTGCAACTTGCGGTCTCAGGATCCCGTAGTGTCGTAAAGCTAATACAACTGTTGAATTCATGTATCAAGACGTGAAGTGCCTATGTACTTTTGACATTGCTAACCTCGAAGCTTACGACGTCATCCTCGGGATGCCATTCCTTTATCAACACCAAGTATTAATCGGTTTCAATCCTTCAGAAATCAAAATACATAGTCTCGACCCTCTACCCATCTGAGGGTCACAAACACAAGTCCTGGAACTGAAGGGCTTGGGCCTGGATGTGAATAGGTTCAAGTCATACTGACAAGAACTTTGTGCTTACACAAAGGACATATGCAAAGAAGTGGTCGAAACCCCCTTACTGCCATTGCGCAAGATTAACCATGTAATTCCCCTTCTCAATGACAGTCAGGTATACTTCTGGCGTCAGTCTCAATGCCCAGAGGCACTACACCTGCTGTGGAGAGCTAAATGAGAGGCATATACTCGAATGGGTTGGTGGGAGTTCTTTAGTGGAACCAATGCAGTTCCCATGATAATGATGAAGAAAGCCACCAAAGATGGATCTCTACGACTGTGCACCATGTCGGATACCTGTCATATACCTGATCTGACTGCTCTAATATCAATATCTGCTCCACTTTCCGATCACCTCCGCTCCACCCATCCTCCGCTCCGTCCAATCATCGTCCGCATCCACTCCTACGTTTCTGCTCAACCGCTCAACCGGTCCCCTTCCATAACGACTCTATTCAACTGGACCTCTTTCCCCTTTTAGATATAACTTTCCCCTTCAGTACATAGACCCTTACTTCCGGATCACTGGTAATTCTACCGCTTGATCACTGATCCGACGTGTACATATTGATATCCGCTCCAACTTATGTCTTCACCTGTGTAAGTACTTACAAATTATATCCTTGGTACATAGCTTTACAACATAGTTATCCTGGTCACTGCCTCATACATAGAAGTATATAACATATCATGTACTTAGATATTTTTCCTCAGTCTTAATATTACTTGTCTTCTCACAGTTACCTCTTGTGAGAATTCTCAGTAGGACCTTGCCTCCTCTGGACACAAGTCTCAACTTGTTGTCACCTCTGACCCTCTGACCCTCCGCTCTGACTTAGAGCCGTGCTCTAAGTGTCCCTCTTATTTCTCCGCCCCTATCAATATTTTCCTTGCCCCTTTTCCCATCCTCCACATTATCCTCCGCCTTCCCCGCTCCTACCAAACATTCCCCCTGCTCCTATCCACCCTCCGCATCACTCCTCGCCTTCTCTGCTCTGCTCCTAGTCAGCCCACCACTAGTAGCTCTTACTTCCCGACTCTCAAAGCGGACCTAAGCGGTTCACTCATCCTATTGTCAGGACAATGTCGGACCTGCTCCAAATTTGGGGCACGTACTCGGCTAAGGGCGCAGCACAAGAGCTGAAGCCAAGCCCCGACCCCTCTTCCTCCTGAGCCGGCATGGTACCTAACACTAAGAACCAAAGAGGTATCTTAGAATCAAGTCAGAAGTATCAGAGGAAAATTAGTGTAGGTTAAGCTGAAAAATCAGTGTCACCTAGCTAGTGTTTATATACTAGTATGGGTACAGGGTATGATGTAATAATAGGTATGTATCAGTAAGCACATGCATAAGCAATGAGGCATCTGAGTCATACCCAACTAAATATACGCTGACAAGAGACATGCATAGTAAGTGTGGATCCAGGGAAGAGAAGAAAAGAAGTTCATGGAACACAGTCATAGCAGTGGAGGTACAGAGTGTGTGGCATTTAGATAAATGTTCACACTCGAGAAGTTGACTTTGTAGAGTAAACTTAGGTGTAGCACAGAAAGAACTGTCAGAACTAAACCGTTGTTACTCGGAGAGGGAAAGGATCAACTGTCCCTCCAGCACTATGTAAACTAGCTTATATAGGTAAGGAGAGACTCGGGTAAAGTAGTAATAAAAGAAACACAAAGAATAACTAAGAATGAGTGAGTGATGCTGATGATGCGTACAGACATTGGTAGCTAGGTACTAAGTCCGTGTGCTCGGCTTTTGAACATACAGCCTCCAGGTCTCATGATGGAGACCTGCTTTCTCTTTTGTAAGCGAGTGACTCTAGCTAGTTGAGGTAATGCCCATCGAGTTCATGGTGGCTAGCAAGGGAATTATCGTCAGGAGGTTCATTAGAACAAGGCCAGCAATAAGTGATCTACCGAAGAAATCCTCATTAGCAACACCATGGAGGTGGGTGCTATTACTTCTATCAAGCTCTTCAGATCTCACAATGATGTTGAGGACATCAGGACCAGAATCTATGGTCGGAGTGATATCAGGAGGGACGGGGATAGGATCGTTGACGGGGGTTTTGATGGCATCCGCGATGATCTGAGAAGCTGTCCTGGGGATAGGAGCAGGTTGCCTAGTTGCAGGGGTATGAGGTTGGAGGTTTCTGACATGCTGTTGGCCCCGATTGTCTAGCGTGAGGTGATGGTTGCACTGGGTCCAGCTGGAGAACTCCTTTTCATGGTCTGCTTTGACCTGGGCAGTGAAAGTGTAGGCCTCTTTCTTAATAGCTAGTTCCTCTGCGAAGCAAGAGGCAGGTGAATAAGAGGGCCACGACAGGGGAAGTCGTCTAGCATGAGACTTACTAGCCTGAGCTCAGCGTGGAAGAAACAGTGAGAAGGCATTCATAGCATCGTCATTCGACTCGCGACAAGAGGAGCGATTAGAGTTGTCGCCACAGTTTCAATGACAACGACGACCTCAACCGCCATGAACTTGGAGCACAGGCATGACTGCGAGGGGGGTTACAAGGGGGGACTTTGCCTGGCTCTGTTACATAGCTAGGGCTGTTGACGTTCATCATGTCAGGGGAGTCCGTGGATCTCAGTCCTAAGGGAGAGTGGGAAGAGGACATAGGGTGAAGGGTAGAAGGGTTGGAGGATTTCGATGAAGGTCAATCGAGCCCTTTTGAGTCCTGGGACCTGGAGGTGCTGACAGATGTGACAGCAGGTAATTCGGCCAGTAATCTGTCAACAATATTGAGGACAAGTCTACTAGCCTCAAAGGGGGTGCTCATGGTGGCAACACTAATATTAGGTGGGTCTAGTGCGGACTTTTTAGGTAGGTTGTCATATACCGGATCCAAGTACCCCCAGTACCACCTATAAGCATCCCTACTGCTGGTCCGACCCCCTGTTTCCCCATCTGCTCCATTCCTCCTTCTCCAACAAAGCATGAAGTGCATCTCAGCAGGATTAGCCCTGCTACCTCCGCCCAACCCCATTCTGCTCCTCCGACACTACCCCTATGTCCTCCGACACTACCCCTATGTCCTCCGACACCATACCCCTTCCATCCGACCCTATCTGGGGTTCCACTCCTCCGCCCTATTGGTCCGCCCGATCCTACTCCTACTCCCTCCACTTTTCCGACCCGCTCAGTTCCGCTCATCTTGTCCCACCCAACTATTAGTCTGTCTGACCACCTCACCGGTCCCCTCCTAGACTAGAAACCACTCAACTGGTCCTATCCCCGTTTAGTATCATAGTTCCGCTTTTCAGATCACTGGTAATCCCTATACCCTAGCAATTCTGATCTGTCGTGTACATACTGTTCCCCAAGCCTTATTCTTGTATGTCTCAGTCATCCTATTGTAATCCTGTACACTCAGCACATAGCCTTCTGCTATGCTATGCTCATCACTTAGAGTATATACCTAGGGGATTGACTCCCTAGGTTGGCCATCCTCAACTCCCTAGGTCGGCCATCCTCCAATCCTCCAATCCTCCGCTCCTCCGTTCCCCTGTTCCCCCATTCCCTTGTTCCCCTGCTCCCCTGTTCCTCTGTCCCTCCGCTCCTCCGACTTCCTGTGCGTCGGAACTAGACCCCGCACTCTTGCATCTGTCCCCTCCGTTCCGCTCTGCTTCAGACTTCATCCAAAGCAGTTCCTTCTGCTCTGCTTCTACTGTTGGTTCCGACTGCAGTAGTCTCCTGCTTCCCCCCTGTTGGGTGGAAAAACCCCCGCCCGACTTTCCCACGCTCACCTAGTAGTCAGTTGGTCCTCCTTCAGAGGACCCCTGTTCCGACGTCCTGTCAGAACTCATAGAACTCATGTCGGACTACATTCCGAAATTAGGGGCACATACTTGGGTAAGGGGCACAGCATACGAGCTGAAGCCAAGCCCCTCAGACTCTGCTTTACCCCTGAGCACGGTCTTAACATAGGTCCTGAATGCCAGTTACCCCAAGAGCCTCCAGATACTGTCCGACAGCTTCAAGTTGCAAAATGGATTGGTAAAGGAGCCAGATGTAGTCACCTGTTGAGTATTCAATTTTAAACAGGGCATTTGAGCCCTGTCCGTGGTGATCTATTACTCTCGCAACAGACCATTCCTTGGGCATGCCAATGTCGCTCATCTGGCAAATTTGTTGTCCCAGGAATCGTTAATCGTCGTTGGGGATATGGAGATGGAGGAGGCTCACGTGAAAGGCCGGGTGAATTCCATGCTTCTTGAGATCAGGGGGAAGATCCAGGAGGAAAGAGTTGTTTTTATAATCCTCGATGATTTTGAATGGGCCCAAGTACTTTGGGGCGAGCTTGCATGCTCATCCCTTGGGGAGCGAGAGGTTCACCATAGATAGATAGACTAAATCCCCTTTAACAAATGGTGATTCTTGTCAGTGATGGTTCATCGATTCCGTACTTTAAATGCGGGCAGCAATGACAGAGTCATGAGCTGACATGATGGCATCTTTCATTCACTGTGTGAAAACCTGAATTCCAGGGTATTCAGAATTAGAGTTCCAAATAAGAGGGGGGGGAAGGAATCCGTAGTTGGAGACAAAGGGTGCATACCCAGTGGCTCCAGCACAGGCTGAGTTAATAGTGAATTCAATTGCAGGGAGTTTTATGGCCCAGTCGTGTTGGTTCGGTGCAACAATCTGTCTAAGCATTTGGGTGATTGTGCAATTAGTGCGCTCCGTCGCTCCATCAGATTGTGGGTGAAATGACGTGGACATCCTAAGTTCAACGCCAGTTAGCTGATGGAACCTTTGCCAGAATGTGCTTGTGAATAGGGTGTCACGATCGCTCACGATGTTTGATGGCATCCTGTGGAGCTTGTACACAAGGTGAAACATTACTTCGGCTATATCTTTCGCTCGGTAAGTTTGTTTAGTGGGAGTGAGGTGTACCATTGACGTGAGGTGGTCAATTGCTACTAGTAACATATCAAATGTACCATTGAGTGTTTTAGACTTGGGCAGGGGACCAATGAAATCGATCCCAATAGTCTCCCAAGGGCAAGCAGGTACTTCTAGAGTTTCTAGGAGCCCGTAGGGTCGATGATTTGAAGGTTTTGAGACTTGGCAAGTGGGGCATGACTTGCAGAAGGAATGAATGTCAGCTGCAATGCTTTTCCACCAGACGTTTTCTCAAAGGTACAGTAAGGTCTTTTGAGGCCTGAGGTGAGCTAGGATTGAGTGTGTGTGAGATATGACAATCTCTCTCATCCATCGGTCACTGATGGTGATGTCTGGGATGCATAGGATACATTTTCCTTTCTCTTTAAGGTAGATTCTACCATTGCTCACTTCAAAGTTCTTAAATGTGCTTGGGTTGCTGATGATCTTAGAGAAAAACCGGTCTTTTGAGTATCGGTTTGCTAAGCGTGCATGAATATCAAGTGTGATAGTTTCTGTTAGGATGGGGGGAGAGTCAGCCAATGAGTCATTGTCTGTGTTTTCTGCTGGTTCCTTTTCTGTAGCATGGTTCAAGGTAGTGTTTGTCTCGCTAGTCACATGACATTGTTGGTCCATGTGTACTGAGTGAACCACATTGTTTGTTTGCTCTCTTTCATCCGTCAAAGCTGGAGTAGGTGTCTCTGGTGGGCTCTTTGCTTCATTGGTTTGTTTAGCGCTATTGCTGGTGGGCTTGCTGACATGCCAAGCTTCCATTGCGCCAAGGAATAGTGGGGTCCCAGTGTAGACTGGGGCTGATATGAAGTTGAGAAGTAAGGTATGTGCTTTGTCCTCCTCTTCTACACTTATGTATTCACTTGCCACACAAACAGTACCTCTAGGCTCATTACCATACATCCTCAATAGCGCATCGGCTAGGGTGTTTTCTTCACCAGGTACGTACATGATCTCAAAGTCGAATTCACTAATGGCCTCCGGCCAGCGCATCTGCCTAGGGGAAAGTTTGGATTGAGTGTTCAGCCACTCTAGGCCTTTATGGTCAGTGAAGACGTGGAATTTGTAGCCAATAAGTAAGTGATGGAACCGTTTCAGGGATTCAATGATAGCTAATAGTTCCTGTTCATGTACAGGGTAATTCTGTTGTGCAGAGTTGAATTTGCCTGACCAGAAGGCAATAACGCTTGCCTTGTGGACGTCTGGCCCTTAAGAGAGTATGCCACTTGTGCCTGTGAAGGAGGCATCAGTCGTCAGGTTCATGGGGTTTGTTCTGCTGATTGCAGTTGCCATCTCTATCACCCTGCAATGTGTGCTCCAGTGCGTTTCAACACAGGCTTTGACCAAGTCAAATGCACGTTGGTCTATGGGGTTCCATGTCCATTTTGTGGTTCGGGCAACCACCTTGGAGAGGTGTTGCATGTCGACTCGAATGCCCTCACATCCACCAGCCAAGTACCTGACTGAGCCGATGAATTGCATCAGGAGGTCTTTTGAGGTGGGTGTTTTCCAGTTAATTATTGTATCAACCTTATGAGGGTCTAGGTGAATTCTGCCATCATCAATGACATGGCCCAGGATGCACAATTCACTCATGAAAAACTGGAGTTTGTGCTTGCTAAGGTAGAAGTGATTAGCGCGCAAGGTATTGATTACGATTATAACGTGTTTCACGTGGTTTTTGATAGAGTCAGAGTAGATCACTATGTTGTCAAGGTACACATCCATGAATACGCCCAGGTGTGGGCTGAATATATGATTCATCAGGGATTGGTAGGTTGCACCTGCATTACAATCACTGATTTGCATTACATGACTGATCATTGTGCCATCAGGGGTAGCAAATAATGTCTTCAGGATGTTATCAGGTACCATGCAGATTTGTTTGTATGCGTCCTTACCATCGAGCAAGGATTGGAATGGGTGTGAGGAGACGTTCCGTAGTATGTTGTCAATATCAGGTAACGGGGATGCAAGTTTGCACATGTTTTGTTTCACTGACAGGTATTGTTAGGTACTGTGCTAGCTCAGGAGGCAGAGGGGTCGGGGCTTGGCTTCAGCTCTTGCGCTGCGCCCTTAACCGAGTACATGCCCCAAATTTGGAGCGGGTCCGACATTGTCCGACAATAGGATGAGTGAACCGCTTAGGTCCGCTTTGAGAGTTGGGAAGTAGAGCTACTA